GGTATCTCTGTTATTCGTAAAGGTATCGAAATTCTCGATTCTGTGGGGAAAATGGGGAAACACCAGTACACCTCATCACTGAGTACGCCGAGACGACAACCATTCGTGCCATGAACTTTGGTACGACTGATATTGGAGATGGAGAACTACCCTCTATAAAACCGTCCCAGATACTGTCTTTTGTCAAAGCCCTGGGACTGTATGATGAGTTATAACTCAAGAAAGGGCGACACAATAGATCTGTAAGGTCGCAATGTTTATCCCCCCCCCCCTCATTCTAAAAGGTATCGAGAAGGTGAAAACTGTTTATTGTAGAATGTTTCCCCAAAACTTTGAAAATATTATATTTTTTAACTATTTCCCAAATCAATGAATTCAGACTAATGGACCCATACGATGGCCTCCCTAATCCCCGGATTTGCCCGTTCTCGATTTCTGTATTTAGGAATATTTCAAATATAAAATAGATCTAGGGCTATATATAGAAGGCCTAGAAAATGCTATATCAGCTATCAGGCAAGCTTTTAGATTTTTGCAAACCCATCCCGTTAAAAAAAAGAAGAAAAATATATTCAGAGATTTAGTGGTAGCAGTTTAAAAGTAAAATATTTCAGTCCCAAATAAAATTTTAATATGAATATGACTATTTTAGTAAATAACATTTTGATTTTTTTGTTATCTATCACGGCCTCCAAGAAAATGATATCTTTTAAATATTGCAGTAAATAGTGAAAATAAATATACAGGGTTGTTCACCACATACGACACAGAGTATTGTAGCTAAACGATTAGGTTTTTACAAATTGTAAGTTTTGGGTTCGTTGAAGGACTATTAGAGCTACAATTTAAAAATATTTTTACAAGATACAGAGTGTCCCAAATAAATAAAAAATATCAAAGTTGTATTTTTTTAAATGGAACACCCTGTATATTATTACATTTTTAGTTTCTACGATTAAAATAAAGGTAAATTTGATTAAGATTTATTACACTTAAACCTTACCGTTTTTGAAATATTTTCAATTTTGTAAAATTGCAGTAAAAATTTTAAGGCTTCATTTCTCCGAGGGTATCAAAGTTTTTAATGCTAAATATTTACTGAAGTTTATTTATTGATCAGTTATGGTGTTGCAATAATAAAAATAATACTACCTCATACAAATTATCAAATGTCTACAAATTTATTTTAAATAATTTCTAGCTTTAAAAGGCAAAAACTTGGTTAATTTAAATGGAATGCTCTGTATATTTTAGGAGAATAAGATGCACAATTTAATTGTCTATCGAATTGTATTATACCACTTTTTACCTATCCCTTCAAGTTTTCGCAGAAAATGCATTTTCTTATAATTTAGACCTCATTTATCAATATACCCATGGAATATTTATATTTTAGATTGTTTTTAAAGCAACAAATGTACAGACTAGTAATATTCTCGTTTTTAGCAAAACGATGATATTACTAGCCCATTTGTATGCAAAAAAGAAACTATTTAAATCTTTATAAAAGAGTATACCATTAATTAAATAACCACCATTATTTCCGCCCAAATACTAATTAATTACATACTTAATTGTGTTAGTTAATAAATTATTCTTAATAAATATGGATTTGAATCAGAAATTAATATAATAATAAGTTATGAAAATGAACGTCTCTGTTGTAATAAATAAACATTTGTCAAAAAAAGAAATATCATTTTTAAGATGTTACTTTTTACCACACTGTCTAATACACATACCAAATACAGGGTATCCCACTTTCTGATTTTTTGGTGTTTGGAGCAATTATTATTAATCAACGCAAACAGTCAATTAATGCAGTTTGAATACTGGAATCACATTAATTGGTCCTCTTTAACAAATATTTAAACAGTTTTTTTTATTTTTTAATGAAATAATCGAACTATATCGACAATATTAGTGTCTGTACTCTTTAACAATTTGGTACAACTTTAAAAATAATCTAAAATGTCAATATTCCATGGGTATATTGATAAATGAGTTCTAAATTACAAGAAAATGTATTTTCTACGGAAACTTGAAGAGATAGGTAAAAATGGTATAAAACGATTTGATAGACAATTAAATTGTGCATCTGATTATCATAAAATATACAGGGTGTTCCATTTAAATTAAACAAGTTATTGCCGTTTAAAGCTAGTAATTATTTAAAATAAATTTTTAGATACTCTGTATAAGGTAGTATAATTTTTATTATTGCAACACAATAACTGATCAGTAAATAAACTTCAGTAAATATTTAGCATTGAAAACTTTGATACCCTCGGAGAAATGAAGCCTTAACAGTTTTACTGCAATTTTACAAAATTGAAAATATTTTAAAAACGGTAAGGTTTAAGTGTAATAAACCTTAATCAAATTTACCTTTATTTTAATCACAGAAACTAAAAATGTAATAATATACAGGGTGTTCGATTTAAAAAAATATAACTTTGATATTTTTTATTTATTTGGGACACTCTGTATCTTGTAAAAATATTTTTAAATTGTAGCTCTAATAGTCCTTCAACGAACCCAAAACTTACAATTTGTAAAAATCTAGTCGTTTAGCTACAATACTCCGTGTCGTATGTGGTGAACAACCCTGTAGAGTGATATGTATATATTTTTGAGCTCATAGCAAGACGGATCATATCACTTATAAATATACAGGGTGTTCCGTTTGATTTGATCGTCTAATGTTTTTAGTGTCTTGTCCTGGCTAGTTATAAAATGCTCAAATCGTATTTTTAATCATATCTCAATTTTTTCAAATAGAACGAGGGTGGTTAATTAGCATATTTGGAAAAAGTCATTTTTAACGAATAATTTAGTACCACACACTTATTTCGAGTCAAACTGTCGTTATGAATCGCATGTTGCAATTTCAAATAAACCCTTAATAAACCATATTCGAAAATGTCAAAACTTGGCATATGATATGTCATTCTATTCAGAGTGCCATTTTCTATCGAATAAACTAACAAAATAACGAGGGTGCCATTTAAAAATCAAAAGTTGTAGTCATTTTCGGGGAAACAGGAAGTGACCGAAAACAACTGAATACGTCAATCAGTCCTAATGTATGTCATATACTAACAAACCAAATTTCGATTTTTTATCTGAAAAAATAAAAAAGTTATAGGGATGAACCACTTTTCAGACGCACCCGGTATGTCTATTTAACTTTCTGATTATGTAATGGCACTTTGTTTACACTACACACTTGTTTCGTCGAATTGCTTCAATTCATTTTTGCTTTTGATCAAATCGGTTTGAGAAGCTGTGAAACTGTGAATGTCATTGCACCCAAATTGCACCCAACAACCACGTAATTACGCCCTCCTTTATACGTTGACATTTTTCCGGTAATTTTATTAAAATTTGAAATTGAGTTTTGAGTTCTTTTTCACTTAATTTTTACTACCCGAAACAACGTTACATCACACAAACCTGGTATACCTGAGTGTTTTATAGTTTCAATAACTGCACTAGCAAAAAAAGTAAAATACTTAAATCGAGACTTAAATATTATGACAAAGCCACAATTTCAAAATTATTTTAATGCAACATGAAATGTAACCGAGACAGCGTGAAATATATAGCGAAAAATTCTGATTACTGCCGTGGAGAGTGCTGGGGTCGGAATTTTTTGAAAACAACTGAAATGCACCAAGCCTACTCACATATATGTATAATCTCGCATATAACTAAATGCACTAGCCATATAGACATATTTTAATCTAGAACCATGTTGTACTATAAATTGGTCTGATTTACTCACATGCTAACACAATTTTTTGCCCGAAAAAAATTAGGTGATATTTGCCGAAATCCTCTCTCTCCCTCACGTGAGATTTAGTGAGGTTCAGCCCCCTCCCCTTTATTCCCTCACGTAATTAATGGACGCACCCAAAGATAAAAGGTAAATAATAAATTTGCAATTCGTTTACAAAATAACAATTTTAATTTTATGCCTATGGCAAATTATACATTTAAATATGTGTTTGTTCCAAACCTCTGTTGGCTTGTAAATTACCATCGATGACATTCCCCATATAATTTTACCCAGAAAAAATGACAGCAATCTTTATTTCATAGCCATCGCTGACACCGTTTTTTTTCGAACATACGGTAGAATTTATTACGCCTGTCTTAAAAATAAAAAAAATCAAGGTTCAATTTTAAATTCTACAACATTCCGGATGCAACAGGTTACTGTAATTACCTAAATATACTAATTTATATTATATTTAGAGATAAGATGGGTAAATGATATAAAATGACTAGGTAAATCACAATAATTCCTTACCAGATATAATTCCATCCATCTGCATGAGGGCTTGTTCCAATAATTTACTAGCCTCGGTTTGTGGAGATATTCCGGGTACGTTATCACCCATTTTATCGGATTTTCCCATTTTATTTCTCTCGCCAATCATTTAAAAATTGTTTTAATTAACTATTTATCAGTTCAAAATCACCATTAAGGTTAATCACCAAAGAAGCCACAATCTTATAATCCGAAGCACACACTCGCGAAAAGAACCGTTTTACCGAAAAGAAGAAAAACAATAAGTAAAATAGTAAAATTATATGTTTTTATTTTAACATAAATAAAATTATAAACAAAAAATACACTTTTTGATCAGTCCCCTGATATCTGTCAGTTTTTGTTTACTTGTTGTTGAAAACTGTAAAAGTAAAACTGGTGGCGCCATCTGCAATAATCTTAGCAAACTAAAAGACGATATTCTCCAAATAATAATAGAAATCTTCAAATATTTCCAAGGATGGGTAGGTAAATTTTTTTTTCTTTACATTTTGGTATGTAAAAATGTACTAAAAGTTTTAAAAAAACTATTTACAGAACAAATATTGCATATAAACACAATATAAATAATGTTTTACCTGGTATACCTTTTACCTTAATATTTAACAGGAACTTTTATCGAAAATTACTCTTTATTTGTCCAAAATACTATATTTTAAAATCTAAGAGAATGTGTCAATAGTGATCCATATCTATGGTCATTGGCAATGGATCGTTTATAGTGTTTATAGGTTAAATTTTAATAAAACAACATATTTTATAATTTATTTCTCTATATTTCAATTTAGAACGAAAATGAGTGAAACTGATGTTATACAGGGTATTAAAATAACATAACATTTTATATATGTATTTCAAACCATTAAAACAATATTCCAGAAAAGTCTGATGCAAGACAGAAAAATAACAAAAAGGAAAAGAAACAAACAGAGAAAAGTAAAACTGACGGGGCCACTAACAAGTTATCATCTACAGGAGAAGATAAATTAACAGAAAAGCAATTAAGAAAACTGGAATGGGAAAAGAGATTGGCTGAACAAAAAACACAAGGAAATGTTAATGATGTAAAAGAAAAGCTAAGTAAATCGGAACTTAAAGCGAAAAGACGTGAACAACAAGAAGCGCAAAGACAGGCCAAAACCGGAAAAGACAAGGAAACTGTTATTAACAATGTTATTACAGAGGTAATAAAACAATATCATCAAAAGTAACTAATCTAATGTGTGAAATTTTTATTAGGTAAAACAAGTATCCCCTGATACCCCAAAATCTCAAAATAATAAACATCCTGAAGAAAAAAAATCACCTGTAAAAAAATCTGTAGATATTAAAAAAGCAAAACCGGGGTATGTTCAACTTGTACAGCATTTGTACAGGGAACCCAAGCTGGAATATGTATCTAAAGTGGTTAATTCTAAAGAAGTTCACCCTGTTTTTGTAAAACTAGGAGTACAATATTCAGAAAAAGTTATTCTTGGGTCCAATGCAAGATGCCTTGCACTACTGTCTGCAATTAAAACCCTAATAATTGATCTACAAAGTCCAGCTAAACAAGAGTTTTGCAGATATATGGAAGCAGTTTTACAAACATGTACAAACTATTTACAGGTGAGTGTTTAAAATTAGACAATACCTACTTTCAAATAACAAAATATGTTTACAGGATTGTAGACCTTTTGCTGTATCAATGACAAATGCTCTAAGACATTTTAAAGTACAACTTACTCATATGGATAAAAATTTATCAGACAATGAGAAACGAGCAAAATTAATTGATGTAATCGAATTGTACATTAATAATGATATTAAACGGGCTTGGGATGCTATTTGCATGAAAGTAAATGCAAAAATAGTAAATAATGATGTCATTTTAATATACGGATGGTGAGTATTAAGGGTAATATCAAGTTTCATATAGGTACCTGTAATTTTCTATAAACTTTTTAGTTCATCTCTCATTCATAAAATACTTCTGGAAGCCAATAAATCTGGAAAGAAATTCTCTGTAATAATAGTGGATAGTCGGCCTCTGCTGGAAGGCAGGGAAATGCTCAGAAGATTAGTCGGTGCTAAAATAAAATGTACATATGTTTTAATAAATGCTCTCGATTTTGTCATGAGACAAGCAACAAAAGTGCTTTTAGGCGCTCATGCCTTATTAACCAATGGAAGTGTTATGTCAAGGATAGGTAAGTTATTGGTATTATTATCAATGGTTATAAATGTATAAATTGATAAAATTATATTTTGGTGAATGCGCCAAATTCAATTTTGCATATTCTACAAGGGCAAGTTAGTCAAAATAGACCTTAAAAATTTAATTCTGATACAAATTGTCCCCCAGGCAAAGATTGTGTCTTGTTAGAGTTGTTACCGAATATATAAACAAAGGTTATAAATGTAACAGTATAGGGTTCTACAAATATGATGTAAACTTTTAGTCTGTATACTGTGATTATTTTTAAAAAGTAAATTATTTTTTAATTATTATGCTTACAGGTACTGCCCAAGTAGCTTTGGTAGCCCAAGCTTGTAACAAGCCTGTACTAGTTTGTTGTGAGACATACAAATTCAGTGAGAGAGTTCAAACAGATTCGTTTGTTTACAATGAAATTGGTATTTTATCATGTTTTATAAAAAAAATCCAAAATAAGATTATTTATTTTAGGTGATTCGAATTTGTTGCTCTCCATTGATACATCGAGCACTGCCAGCCCTTTAGTGTCTTTAAAGGACAATACTAAATTAAGTATTTTAAATATATTGTACGATGTGACACCTCCAGATTTGGTGACGGCTGTTGTTACGGAATTAGCAATATTACCTTGTACAAGCGTACCAGTTGTATTGAGAATCAATGCCAATGAGAATATGTAGCAATGAGTGTAATGTGAATAATGTATTTTATTTAAAAACGATAATATATTCTTTATACAAAATTTGTTTTTAAATTCATATCTTCTAATTTTATTGTTGAATTTTATTTTGATTGATTTAGAACCGATTTATTAACGGTTCGTCAGTGACGTATGCGTTCATGTGAGTTGATGTGAGTAGGGCAAATTATTTAAAGCTAGAAAACAGTCAGTTTTTAAAGTTCCCAACCCTTAGTAATTGACATATTTTTATTCTATGGATGATTTTTCTATAGAAAAAAGAAATCTGTAATTAGAACCGCCTCTTTTTCGGTCGATAAAACAGATTTCTTTTCCAACTTTCCATAACCCCACTTCTTATTTGACAAATCATTTTCCATAAACAAATTTTTAACAAGTCATTCACAATGGAAGCAATGGATGTTGTTTTACCCGAAAAAGTATAAAAATACAGTATTTCACATTTATTTCTATCTATATTTATTAACTGGGATTTTAGGAAGAAGGTAGCCCTTCGGATACAACGAAACCAAATCTTCAGGATCTAGACACTGAAGATTTATACACAAAGTATAAAAAACTGCAACAAATGCTCGAGTTTTTGGAAGTTCAAGAGGAGTATATTAAAGACGAACAAAGGAATTTAAAAAAAGAGTATCTGCACGCTCAAGAAGAAGTCAAGAGGATTCAGTCTGTTCCTTTGGTTATTGGGCAGTTTTTAGAAGCTGTCGATCAAAATACAGGTCAGTTTACGTAGATGTTTAGGGTCGAAATAAATATGTGCCAAAATATTTGTAGCTTTTTCATTTGCACTTGGTATAATGATTAGTTAGAAGAAATTTATGTTATTGTTATTAGGTATTGTTGGATCAACAACTGGTTCAAACTACTATGTAAGAATCTTATCAACCATTGACAGAGAGTTACTAAAACCTAGTGCTAGTGTAGCATTACATAAACACAGCAATGCCTTAGTTGATGTATTGCCTCCCGAAGCTGATTCATCAATCAGCATGCTTCAAGCAGATGAGAAGCCTGATGTTAGCTACAGTGATATTGGTAGGTGAAATGTTATCTATATTTTAAAAAAAGTTAGCAATATTAATTTGTAACTTTAATTAAGGTGGTATGGATATGCAAAAGCAGGAAATTCGTGAAGCAGTAGAGCTACCCCTAACTCACTTTGAATTATATAAACAAATTGGTATTGATCCTCCAAGGGGTGTGTTAATGTATGGACCACCAGGGTGTGGCAAGACTATGTTAGCTAAAGCTGTTGCTCATCATACTACAGGTTCACAGAATATTTTATAGATTTTTAAATTATTTTCTATACAAAATATTTTGTAGCTGCCTTTATCCGAGTTGTTGGTTCGGAGTTTGTGCAAAAATACTTGGGTGAAGGTCCCAGAATGGTAAGAGACGTTTTTCGTCTAGCCAAGGAAAACTCTCCAGCCATTATTTTTATTGATGAAATCGATGCCATCGCTACAAAACGTTTCGACGCTCAAACGGGCGCCGATCGTGAAGTTCAGAGAATTCTTTTGGAGTTGTTGAATCAAATGGACGGATTTGATCAAACTACTAATGTTAAGGTATATAAGAGAAATAACTTTCTATAATTCTTTTGGCATAACTTTTCTCAATATTTTGGAACACAATTCAGTCTAAGCAATCAAAGATGGTTTTCTGGTGATATTATTTGTCATTATTTTTAAGCCATCATCTGAATATCACAGGTTGTTTTAAATTTTGATTAGTTGATGGTTAATATCAAGAATTTAGAGTAAAAAATAATTATATTGATTACTTAAGTAACTACTTATGCTATTCTTATTCTATTTTTGTCAATTTTTGGATGCGGACTCCACACTTACTGTCGCTTCTTTATATATATAGCATTCCGAACTATTACTGTGCACAACATTGTAAACCAAAATAAAAAAACTTACATGAGAATAATAAAATATGTATTTTCTAGGTTATTATGGCTACAAACAGAGCTGACACCCTCGATCCTGCCCTTCTTAGACCTGGTCGTTTAGATAGGAAGATAGAATTCCCGCTACCTGACAGAAGACAAAAGCGTTTAGTTTTTAGCACTATTACCTCAAGGATGAACTTATCTGAAGAGGTTTGTCTGTGTGTTGTGTTTTTTGAAGAAACCTATTATTTCTACCCTTCCAACTGTTCAATATTGTTCTTTTTCAGGTTGATTTGGAAGACTATGTAGCCAGGCCAGATAAAATTTCTGGAGCCGACATAAACGCCATTTGTCAAGAGGCAGGTATGCATGCAGTGAGAGAAAACCGTTATATTGTGCTGCCAAAAGATTTTGAGAAGGGCTACAAAAACAACATTAAGAAGGACGAGAGCGAACATGAATTCTACAAATAGATCTTTATCTTTTTTTGTGTATTTAAGAATTAAAATATTCAGTTTAAAAAATTAATAAATGTAATGCTTTTCCTGTAGCAGTTTATGTGGCCTTTATTTGAAAAAATTTCATATTTTTATCCTGCATTTTATTTTTGAAGCTTTCAATTGCTTTCCTCCATTCACGCAGTTGTGCAGCTCTGAACTGTTCAAGAACGCGAAACTCTCACTCCATTCAATTGAGTCATAAAGTTCAGAACTGTTCCGCTCCATATGAAGGCACCATGCTATTGCGCACAGCTCCTTTCAGAACCGTTCTCGAGTAGCCCAGGGCGTAAAGCACTGGAACTTGAAGTTCGCGAATGGAGGACAGCAAATAATGGTTAATAAAATATTGTTTTAATATACTGACAGTATTTGGAAATTGCATAAAATATGTCTGTACCTCAGAAGCAGTTGGGCTGAAGTCCACTTTTTTACTAAATGTTTATGGAACTTTTGAACATAATATTATCATGGCTTTCTATAGCAAAAAGGCTGGAGTCGAACATATGATAAGAAAAAAGATAATAAGCAAATAGTGGACTGAAGTCCCTATACCTTTAGTGTATAGTTTGGTTTTTGCTCTCCTGTAAAATTATAAAAACTGGACTTCAGCCCAAGTGCTTCTGAGGTACAGATATAAAATTGAGTGATGCAACGTGGTCAGCCGTGGCACCAACAGTAGTGTGTCGATCTGCTGTGCGATTACACACATTACAACTACATGCAAGAGGTAACCTACACTCTGTACCGAGTATGGCACTGTAAGACGAAGACTCAAAGTTCTCACTACATACATGCATAGGGCGGGCATAGGTATAATAGAATCAATAATACATTTTCAATGTATTTTCATATACACGGTGTTCGAAAAACGCATGTCTAAATTTCAGAGAGTGATTTGTGATTCTCACAAAAGATATATATTAATAAATATAAATAAATATTGCATCATGTCTCGGTCATGTTCTCGGCCGAGAATTTCTTTTTCTCTCGGTCTCGTTCTCGGCCGAGACTAAAAATCCAGGTTCGGTCAGTCCACAATTTTTAGTTGCTTAATTGAAAAAAATATAAAAATTGCAAATCAGTCAGTACCTCACATTTGTCAAAAGTATTATTATTTTCGATAAGGTGTCCCTTGGGACGCCACTGGACTTAATAATTTTAATTTAATTAAATCAAAATTGGGCACTTATTACTAGAAATAGTAGCATGAACAAATTACAGGAAAATCGGCTACAGGATACCTAATATTAAACACCGTATGATCGAAAAAAAACCGGCGTCCAGTTGGCTGAGAAATGACGATCGATGACATTTCCCATATAAATTTACATATAAAGGAACAGCGAACTTCATTTCATAGCCATCGCTGACACCGTTTTTTTCGATCATACGGTACTTCATTAATTTTAATTTGCATTTTCTAAATTTACAATACTGTATAAGGTAATTCAAATATAGTATCTTTACACATTTTGTTCAGTGTTGCCATAAAAATTCAATTTAGCACTCACGGCGCACTTAGACGTTCTTTTAAAACTCGGACACGAGTCAGCGGCAATACAAAAATTCAATTCAAATATAAGATGTCATTTTTATGGAATATGGTTTGTTCTAAACTCTTCTTTCTCTCTCAAAATTAAGAAATCATAAATTCCGTAGTGTAAAAACTCCGATATTCTAAAAAATAATTATACACTTAACTGAAAAATTCAACATTCATCTCTTGAATAACCAGGTAGATATTTTAAGTCAAAAACAAGAAACTATAGAAGTTTTGTAATAAACTTTATTAAAATCTATAATATATCAATGTTAGTTACCTTCTAAAGGCTAAACAATATTTCATGATAAAGAAGTAAATAAATAAAAAGGCACTATACAAACTTCATAAATTAAAGTATCTTTTCCATTCTATATAGAAAAATAATGTATTATCACATTCCTTAATCACCACTCAACACTTTACGAACCAGTTCATTTTTTTTGTATTTTCTCGACTATTTCACGGTAACAGGTAAATTTCATGTTGAATTACATGATGCATTTAAAAATATCATTCGGTTTGAGATTACAAAACCGCCAAATTAAACGCCCCTTCAATGTAATGTCAATATTAAGTGCATCATATGTCCTAAATTAACATTTGGCATTCTCGCAACACCCTTATAAACATGCAGAGACAATAAAGTCGCGATAGCATTATGATATAAAAGTTTTAAAATATGAATAATATTTATAATATATTAATTCTATAACACCTATAAGGCTTGATTTATTTTAGAAAAATCATTTATAATGTTTTTGGTCGATGTTTTAAGGCCCTACGGAGAAATAGTTATTGACATAACAACCATCATAATATAGTCATCAGTTTTTAAACCGACGAGCAGTTAATTGTTGCTTAATTTTACATAAATCAAAAATGGATGTTACATCCAAAACTATTTTAAACTATCTGTCTCATTCTTATAATCTAGGGAAAGTCGATTAGGCAACTACTTTTTTGTAAAAAATTAGTAACTGCTTATCTTAAAGCTGACCTAAGGAAGTATTACTTTTGTGACATATTTTTTACGTTTAAAAAAACAAGACCCTAAATAATCAGATCAATATTGAAATCTCTTGAAACGAGCGACTATATTTATATTATTGAACTCCGCCAAAAGGTATACAAACATTACTAATATCTAAAATAAAGTGTCTTGTTTTTCTAATAAAGTTCTAGACTACCACAGTTGAATCAATGGATCTTTGTGTGCACATCATCCTTTGTGTGTAACTTTAGCTCCAACTGTATGCTTATAATTATGAGGACAGACGCTCAGTGTTTTTTCGAATTGCTTCGTTTAAGAGTCTATTTCGCTGTACTGTGCGGGTCGGGTAAAGCAGGTGTGCAGTCGAAGGAAATATGTATTATATTTCAGAAATCTGCCTAAGGCTTAGCCCGATCCTGTCGTGTTAAGCCACACCCAAAATTCCAAACACACATGCTTTGCTTATAGCTCAGGGCCGATACATCGTTTTACATGGGTGACCTTCAACAAATTAGAGACAAGCTGCAATTTTGCATGGAGCTTCATTTTGTAGATCTTTAAACATCTTGAAATCCCAGCGATGAACCGTTGAGCCCGTCACCCCAAAACCACCCCTACAAGTGGTAAAAATGGCCCTTTTTTACTTTTTCTTCAATCACTCTAAAACTACGAATTTTAGGAAAAAAAGTCACCAGTAAAAAATTGAAGAAATTTCCTACCACATAGGTAAAGAAACAATATTTTTAGAATTTCAGTGGCGCAGGTGCGAATTCTTTAATTTAGGAGGATTGTTTTAATAACCCACCATTCTGTGTTTAACTTCAAATGAAAGCATTTTTGAGATAAATCTCGAGACCAAAAAATTTTAGGATACGAGTTCCTATAAAAACGATCTTTTTATAAAGGTCAATTACCAGTGGCGGAGATAATTTTTTTAAATGTGAGTTTTTTACATTTTAAAAACATTGAATAAGAAAAATTGGTATATTGAAAAATTTACACGTTTAATAACAAAATAAGAAAAACCTTAGCTCAAAAATAGGATAACTTGTCTTAAGGATAGTCCTCATTTACTCCACATTTTGCATTGACCACATGCCATAGTGCAGGTGAGTCCCATTCGCTTTCATGTACATACTTTTTTACAGCCTCCCAAAGAGCAATTGCAAAACATTTCTCTAAACCCCATGAAGGAGCAATGGGCTGGTCTGAATGTATTGGATTTATCTCTCGATTTTTCAGATTTCAACCCCAATCTTACGGTGGTAAATTGTTATTTAGCGAAGCCTGTACCCTGCAATATTTTCAGATCTGTTTTCTCAATACTATAATTATATAACATATCACTATGGTAAAAATGTGACCGTTGTTTTTGATGAAGATTAATTTAGTGAACACCATCCAGAAGAAAAAGTTATGTGAGCTATTAAAAGAATTTTATAATCCCGAGGCTTCAAAGGAGAAGTTACATCTCAGTTTTTTATAGCAGCATATGTTAAAAACTCGACAAAAAAAAGTAGATTTGAATAGTGCCAGATACATGTGTTATCAACAGTACGTAGCTAACGAAGTCTTAATACCAACTTCAACTTGGCATCATTACCACTTACCTCCAATAGTGCGAAATATTAGCATAATTTATTCAATCTTTTTGAAATGTAAAAAACGCACATTTAAAAAAATCTCCGCCACTGGTAACTTACCTTTATTAAAAAGATCGTATTTATAGAAACTTGTATCCTAATAATTATTTTGGTCTCGAGATTTATCTCAAAAATGCTTTCATTCGGAGTTAAACACAGAATGGTGTGTTATTAAAGCAATCCTCCTAAATTAAAGAATTTGTACCTGCGCCAAGGATAACTAGATAAAAGCCTTGTTTCTTTACCTATGTGGTAGGACATTTTCTTCTCTTCAATTTTTTACTCATGACTTTTTTTTCCTAAAATTCGTAGTTTTAAAGTTATTGAAGAAAAAGTAAAAAAGGGCCATTTTTACCCGTTATAGGGTGACGGGCTCAACGCTTCATCGCTGGGGTTTCAGGATGTTTAAAGATCTACAAAATGAAGCTCCATGCCAAATTTCAGTTTGTCTCTAATTTGTTGAACCTCGGCCTGTATAGGCTCTGGGCTATTAAGGCTCGATTAAGGTTTCCAGAGCTTCAGCATTTGCCATAAAATGGCGAGCAAGTTGTTACAAAACCATATAAATTACATATCACTCTAATCACAAAACTTCAATCTTTGTCGGTATTGTAACAGAATTTTAAATTATTTCTTTATTTTCGAGAAAATTTAGTCCAAACATAAGGTATATTTTGTTGATGTTTGACCATCAAAATCTTAAAAACAGAGAAGTTATCTAAAAATGTGCTACAATAGCGACATAGTATAATCTTTTATCTTTAATTTCGTCCTTCATTTGTGTAAAAATAAAAATACCTAGCCAGTTTTACATAAAACGTTAAATGACGAACGCTTATTTTGCTACTTTTTCGGACTAGTGAAATGGACTCTTAAAAAGAAAAAGAAAGAGAGCGTATAAAAAGGAATTGATGGCTGATTAATGTTATGCACAGTTTTGTGACGTGCACGCAGAGATCCATTGATTGAACTGTAATTCTGTAATTAAGTGTAAAATTAGAGAGTTACTTAATACACAAATACATGATGTTAAATTAAACCAAAACTAAAAAATAGTCTCTCTTAAATACAATAATTAAAACTATAATCTACAGTGTGACCAAAAAGAATTATAAATATTGAATATTTATTTTTACACTGACTGAAAAACATTTATATATGGTTTTCTATTATATATGTGGTGACATTCATTAGGACACACTGTGAAATAACAATACTATACATATACTTATATAAAACATTTGAAAATAGAGAATCATTAATGCACCACTTAACAACAATATAATGTAATATATGCCTTAGTAAACTAAAGTTTCTTTGAAACTTCCATAAAAATTATAATGTAAACCTACAACCTATATAATTTGGTATTAACGATTAGAACAAGTGGGATTCTTAATTATAAAAACAAATAATTGACACAACATAAATTATATACAATGTAAAAACGATACAACAAATAACTATGGTAGGTAGCTCATTTTCATAAGTAAAAATTCAGAGAAAATAAATTATTTTATACTCTTAGCATTGATAATGGTTGACAGAGTTAAGGAATGATTGTCTGTCATAAATATTGAACTTCAAAGAAACTTGAATAGTGATGTCGCTTGTATCTCCAAATAAGTTTAAATATACTTAACCATATGTCATAATTTCGTTGAATTAGTCATTATAAATTGTACTTATACTTGGACGTATCTTCTTCAGTTAAATTTTTAGTACTTTCAAACGTAGTTTAGAACCTTGAAATACTAGCGCCATCAAAATTTTTAAATCATGAAGCTTTTTTTAATAGAGATAATCCTCCTTAATCTACACCCATAGCATGGAAAAAATAAGAATATACTGTACCTGAGTATAGAAAAACCAATATTTTGCCATACCATATCCGGTCACTTCATCTGCGTGGTCTGTATTTTAATGCATGCGACAGAGATAAATATAAATGACCGGTTGACAAACAGAGAGACAAAATAAAAAGCGGCATACAGTATTGCCGGCTTATACATTTGTAGGAAAATGTGTGGTAGAAAAACATAAAGTATTTTTAAAAATTTTCAAGTGTACTACTGAAATGAAGATAATATATCTAAGCTAAATATAATCTATTACAGCTGTAATAAAATGAGTAACTAATTGTAAAAAATAAAGTTCCAACCCTAGATACATTTTTTATAAAGGCCTACTTGTGTAGTTTGAATTTTTGATGCAAAATCTGGCAATACCGCATAGAAGAAATGTATCAACCCATCTTTTGTCTCTTTTTAAAACATTTGATTTTCCATTAAGCTGTCTACATCACTGTCTTACACGTTAAAATCCAGACTACGCAGTTTCGATGACCAGATCGGTATATCTAAATTTGTAGTATTCCTTATGAAATAAATATCCATGTTGTTAAAAAAAGTCGTCTTATGTATATCCTTTTTTTATCACAATATAATTGTCTTTTAATAATTTGAAATATAGGATCGAAAAAAAAACATAATTTTACATATATCAAGAGAGCAATTTTCATTTCCAAGCTAACTCTGACGCCTTTTTTTCGATCGTACGGTATTCTAGTATGACGAATTCAATATTTTGGAATTTATTATATCACATTGACTAAATGTAGATGCCATTTTACTTTGAACGAGTAATAATTACCAAAATAAAAAAATAATACCTTTTATTAAAACTTGCTTCTTTAACATTTTTTGACAATAATGCCCAAGCAGCTTTGGCATTCCTATACTCAGATATTATTTTATACATTTTTGACAAAAAATAATTTCCATTATGATGCAACATATTTCATATCACTTTAACAAACAGGATGAGCACTTAAAATAGATAGATATTCCACTCCACGCTATCTTCATAAACAGCTCTTAGATTTTTGATTTTATCTTATATAGAACAAAGAAATATATTTTTAAATTCACTTAATATTAGTTGAAAACAGCGTAAAAATCTGTGAAGTTATAACAATTATGATATATCACTGGTCCTATAAGTTCAACTTGTAATATGTGAAGCAATTATTCTCCCAATTTGTATAAAATACATATATCTTTTTTATCATATATGTAATATTTTAGTTCAGTATACATATAAATATCTATTAAGCAATCCTATAACAAAACCCTGTAGCTCAATAGTTTCTATACAATGATACTAATGAATATAGTTATATTATTAAAATTGAATTGTTTTTATTTCAAATAGCTGCATTTTGTTAAATCGTCGATAGAAGAAATAAGAAAATGCGCAATCTTATGGGCGATTTCGTGGCACAAAAGATGTCTGACATGTAGCTGGCGTTACTGTCAGAATGTCCGAGATTTAGTTTAGCTCTGCGCCGCTGCGCGCTGATAGTCGTTTACAGCGCAGCGGATAAATACTGTACCGTATAAAAACTAAACAACTTTTTTCGATCATACACGAATTTTTCATCCAAAGATATTTTCCTCAAACGTATTACAGATATTACACATTTTAATATGGCAACACTGTCACTTTCAGTTCCATACCGTCTTCGATATGCCTTCGTTGGCCGAATTAAAGAAAATAAGTGTTTTATGCATTGGCCGCAAAACGAGTGGCGGCTCCACCGTACAGCACTTGGGCCGTAATGGGAAATTAAATCAGTCTCGTCACGAATTCGCCAATTAGGTTGCGTATCTTCACAATTCTTTCAATGAACGGTTAAATGTAGTCTATACAACCATCGTTCCACGCTACGTCATATATTGTCCTACTCTTTTGTTCACGTGAAAACGGGATAAGATTGTAGACGTCATTATGGTAGTTCGTAAATAACTCCACATTTTTTTTAGTAGATAACTGTCGTTTTACTAGAGGTGTGACCTCTCTCTGATGGAAGTAGTATTACTGAATATCAACCCATATCCGCGAAACTGCATTGCTGACAGCGAACAAAGAAATCAGCAGACAAGAACTACATTTAAAATTTAGTTTTAGTTATTTTTTTTATCTCTTTCTGTCTCTCTTTTTTTTCTCTAATGATCTCATGGTGCATCCACACCATCCTAGAAAAAGCGGAACGGCGCGGCGTATCGGCTAGATTTCCAGCAATTCTATTGGCTGAAAAATTCATCGGTCACAAATTTCATCTGTCAGGTTCATCTGTCAAAAATTTCAGCCAATAGAATTACTGGAAATCGATTCAAGGTCGTTACGCCGATATGCCGCTCTGCTTTTTCTAGGATAGTGTGGATGCACTCTCAAACACACCCTAAAACGGGTTAGATAAAAAAAATTATGACGTAGCGTTGAAATAACCTTGTACAGACTCTATGAGAGGAAGTCTTTCTATTGTAGATGCAATTTGTCCTTTTTTTTTCGAATTTTGCAAACACTGTAAAATGGGTATTATATTTAGTCCTTTTTTTCCAATTTTGCAAACAAAGAAAAATTGCCACGCTTTTTGCAAGAAACTTACTGAAAAACTAGTATACTTAAAAATGAATAAAAAATCATAAAAATGTATGTAAAGTACAACCCACATGTAAAAAATCTAGTTTTGAAGATATCTGGAAAATTTAAAAAAAACTGTCCTTTAAAATGACCGTCCTTTAGACGTGAAATTCCTCTATATTTTTCTGCTACCACAGTCCGTATCCACATAGTCCGTCATAGTTCCATTCATTATTTTAAGTAGTATTATTCAAAAAATAGAGAAGTTGTAGTACAAAAAAGCTCTTCATCTGTCAATGCCAAACAGCAGTATGTCCACAGCACACATGGACATACTTGTTTGTTTGTCTACCGCCAATGGACATACAGCACATAGAAAGTCGAAGGCATTTTCGCCATTTAATTCGAATGGGATAAAATGTTTTTAACACGTCGTTTCTGGCATTCTATTTGTAACTTTGTGTATGTAGTTTGCAATGCCACTTTTGGTTGAAAATCTTAAAGTATGGACAAAATGCATTTAGTAAGTCTGCTCCTCATGTATGTATTTTCTATCTCTAATAGCAAGTCAGCTAATACATAGTTTGTGAAATTTAAATGATCATTATCAAAAGTTTAGAAACCATTGCTTTAACTACATTTTTCTATACTGTACAGAATAAGATAGATATGTTCTTAAAGATTTGTTATAATATGTAAAAATTCGTCAGTGATACATCAATTTAATTCGAAAAAAGCACTTGGACAATTCAAAATTGAGAAATAAAAGTATTTGGCAATATCCTTCTTCAACAAACTCTACTTGACTAGAGCACAGTAAAAAACTCGTGATCAAAACCCGTATTTAACCCTTCTACAATCACTACAAGAAATTTAAGTTTTGATTTAAGCAGAATTTATTTTAGTTTGATATATCTTAGCGGTGCAATTCCATCGCGATTAAATTCCTACTAGAAAATATACTTTGTTTGATAATCTAAAATATGGAATAGCTGAGCAGAGAAACTATGCGCATTTCATGCTATTTCCAAGTGTTATTGCTTTTAATTCGCATTGCAACAACGAAATTTGTATATTTTTTTTGGTCCAACAGTTACTTTGTCAAATAAAGAGTTTTAAAAATGCAAACACTAGAAATAAAAACAGCATATAAATGAAACGTGATAAAATTTATAGTACAAAAAAAACTATAATCTACTATAACATTTAACAAAACGAAATTCAACGTAAACAAATTGAATTTTATTTGACCGATACTTAGAAGTGCAAAGAAAAACAAAAATTAACCATTACAACCAAAACTTATATTATTTTAATTTATTTTATACTTGATAGTGATGTTTAGAATGCTTTAAAAATAAAATTAATTGTTTACGTAAAAACAATTCTATTTTCCAAAAAGATTTTCCAATGACTAGAACTTTTTCGTAATATCTAATGGTGGGTTTATGCTTGAGAATATTAGTCATAATTTTTAACCATAAGTGCTAAGAAATCTTAATTCATAAAACTGAGACAATTTTCTATTATTTTGTTACCGTAACAATTGTATTTTTTTGTAAAAACCCTGTAAAGCATTTAATAAATATAAATTGATACTGGAGACGTTTTATAGGTATTTAAAAATTAAAATGACGTCAAAAACAACTAAACATAAGAATAATGGCATCTTTAGTGTTGTAAAATGATCCAGAATTGATTTTTGGGGAAGGTTCACTGAGAGCAGACGAGAATAAACGAGCAAATGTCGAAAACAGTGATAGCAAACACCCGGTATATTAAAATTTGGGTAAATACCCAAGGTTTTGCACCCGGTATATATCCAGTGAGTAAATACAGGGTATCATGAATTTAGGTAAACATCATTATACCCGGTATATACCCAAGTATTTTGGCATTAAAGAAATATCAAAATCAGAAAATCATCAGTTAGTCAAAAAATGCGCAGAAGCCAATAAATTCTATTAAAAACACGAAAGCGACAGTGCAACTTAGGTGAATACCCTAATTTTATAAGGGTATTTCCCCGACGACAACATAAGAAATACAGGGTATATTACCAGGAATATACCAGTATATACCGGGTATATATATACAATATTCCTCAATCGGTATATACCCTACACTTCTGGGCATATACCAGATATATACCCAAATCTTATTTCACTTCCTGTTGGGTATTTACCCACCTCCCATCACTGCCATATATCCTACACCATCTGGGTATACAGGGTGTTGCAGGCTGAACGTGCATTAGAAATTTCTGACAAACAACAATATCTAGAATCTAATATAATCGTTTTGAACCATTGATGTGCAAAAAATCTCCGATCTAGATATTGTAGTTCTCTAGAAACTTGCTAATGCACGCTCAGCCTGGGACACCCTGTATACCCAGATTTTATTTATCTCACCGTTGGGTATCTACAGAATAAGGTAAACTATAAATAATATAGAGAAAATACTTTTTGAAATATATAGAATCACCTTAAAAACGTTCTAGATAGTGCTTATACATGCTCGTTTATGCTCATGCATACCCCTAGAGCTCAAACGCACTGACGGCCAGGTCGCAGCGACCTGGCCGTCAGTCGGCTGGTCGGATATCTTGCGTACATACGTGTGTCAAGATGAACGACCAGTTTCAGCAGGGCTGTCAGATCTAACGATTTTTTACGTTTTACCAATTAGAAAATATTGTTTTCAGAAATGTTAAAATATCTGAGTTAACTAAAAAGCGAAGTTCCTATTCATGAGCTTATTATATGTTCTAATATTAAATGCATTTAAAATATTAATGGTAATTACAGTAGAGTAATCAGGATAGTTTTCGCACATTGTAGAGGAAGAAAAAATAGATTATAAACGGCAGATCAAAAAGAAACTTTAAATAAGATTTTTTATTTTTTAACATCCAAACTCGAAGGTATAATAACAGGTATTATACCAACCATAAATAAAGTATGTCATATAAAATGTTTTGAATTTTTACTAGAATCCGACCATTGATAAAAAAGGGACTAGATTTAAATTTCCCTTTGATCCAGTCTGTATACTATTTCTTTGAGTTTTCTGCACGTGTGCAAAAACTACACCAAAACACTATATCTGAATCGAGCCTTGAATTTGAGGGATTTCATCTGAAAAATTATTAATTTGGAAGATAAACAGGAACAGGCGGCAGAAAATAATACTATTTTAGTGCAGTCTACTGGTCGTAGCGACCAGCCAACCGCCGGGTCGTCAGTGCGCGTTGTATCATTTGATTTAATAGTATTAGAGGTAGCAGCGAACGAATGCTTAGAGTTATGACTAATATTCATAGCATAAACCGGCGGTAAGAGAATATTACTTTGGATAATGACATAACAAGTTTTGATAACAATTGTAAAGATTTATTTTTCTAACCGCACTTACTTGAGCCCCTCCCCCCAAACATCCCACTCCTACGTGCTAGAATTCTCACCGATCTTTTCAGTACTGGCCGCCACCATAGCCAACGTTGCCAAACCTAACAGGGCGTTGTCACCTGGGAGACTGCCCCCTTCCGGCTCAGTCTTGTTCAGATGGGTGATGCTCTGTTTGTTTTTCCTTTTCTTCGACCCCACCACCGGCGTCGCTTCTGGTTTGTTACTGACATTGTTATTATCAGCTCGCTGGTGGATTTTATACCCAACATCCGATTTTATTTTCATCTTGCGCTTCTTGCTCTCTCTTTTCCTCTTGATAAAGTCGTCGTAGTTCAGACTGTCTAAATTGTCTATTCTCATATCCAAATTGAAGTTGATCGTAGACGATTTTTCGACGGGGCTATCCATAGTCGGTTCGGTTTGTTTTTGTTTCGACTCTTCGCTTTCAAAATCGATTTTGACGTTGGTCCGTTTGGCGAGCCTTTTGATGGTGTTTTCGAGTTTGGGCGGATCCAACGAGTGCTTGGTGTGGCTGAGTTCCTGCTCGATTTTCGAATCTATGCGACTGTATCGGTTGTGTTGAGTGAGGCTGCTATCGCGTTTGTGACCGAGAAGTTTGCCTTCCACCATGAACAGTTCGTAGCGTTTTCCTTTGCACATCCTGTCGCTTTTTCTTTGCTCTCTTGGTTCTGAAAAAAAATTATTATAAATACAGATTTCAAAGGACACCAAACTTGAACTAAAAAGAAAACTTATAACACAAAACAGTCACAGTTGCTGGGACCTTAACCACTAACGTGACGTCTTTGAATATCCAGTTGATTTAAAAAATTCCGATCGCAACGCTCAATGCGGCAGAAATTAAAGTGCCCGACTATTAAAGTATTTCACGCAGTTTCGTTACCGTTCATGTCGATCGCATTGAAATAATATTAAAATCGTGGTTTTGTCATAATATTTAAGTAGTTTAGTTTTTAGTAGTGCATTCAGGTACGAGATTTGTGTGATGTAACAATGTTTCGGGTAGTAAAAATTAAGTGAATAAGGACCCAAACTGGGCATCGTGTTGTGTAGTAACAATTTGAAATGTTATATTTCAATAACTCAACTTTCCCGGATATTCAACTTTCACGAAAAACATTTTATAGCTTCACAGCTTCTCACACCGATTTGATCAAAAGTAAAAATGGATTCAAGAAATTCAACGAAACAAGTGAGTAAACAAAGTGTCCTAGTAATGAAAGGATAAAATATTATTGTAATATTAATGGTATACTTCAACACCTATTACAACGGAAGAAATAGAAGAAGCGGTTAAAGAAATGAAAAATGGAAGAGCACCCGGACTCGGAGATATTGTAATTGAAATGATCAAGTGTGGGGGGATAACACTATATGAGAGAATTAAAGGCTTATTGAATAATTGTTTACAACAGAGAAAGACACCGAGTGAGTGGAAAATTGGATATATTTCATCTCTGCATAAGAAAGGAAACAGAAATGATCCAAATAATTACAGGGGGTTGTGCGTCACTGCTACTTTCTTCAGACTCTGGGGAAGAATTATACAAAACAGAATAAGAGCTGAAGTTGGAAACTCTATATCCGAAGATCAGAATGGCTTTACCCCAGGTCGGTCATGTACTGACAATTTATTTGTCATACAACAAATAGCAGAAAAAAAGATAAGAAAAAATGAAGAAATACATATAACATTTGTGGATATAAAGAAAGCATATGATAATGTCCCGAGAAATAAGCTATGGATGGCATTAGAAACTATTGGGGTTAGCCAACATCTTATAGAAGTTATCAAAGAACTGTACACCGATAACATCAGTTATATAAAACAAGGAAAGATACTCTCAGAACCCATATGTACAGCGAAATGTCTGAGACAAGGTTGTTGCGTATCCCCTCTTTTGTTTAATATTTACCTGGAGATAGCTCTTAGGAGGTGGAAGAGATCATGTCAAGAAATGGGTATTCCAATTAATGAGGAACATCTTCTGACACTTAACTTTGCAGACGATCAAGCAGTATTTGCTCAAGATTCCTTTGACATGGAGTTTATGCTCAGGAGACTATATACTGAGTATCAGGAATGGGGTCTAGAAGTCAGTTTAAAAAAAAACAGAATACTTGGTATTAAATTCCGACGCCAAATTTGATATTCTAATTGACGACAAGGCAGAAATACAGCAGGTAGACACATTCAAATATGTAGGAGCTATAGTTGATAAAAATGAAATCGGTGGGACAGAGATACGACAGAGAATTCAGAACGCGAGGAGAGTGGTAGGGGCACTCAACTCAATCTGGTGGGACAAACATATTAATATAAAGAATAAAAAACATATTGGCCAAACAATGGTAGAATCGGCCTTATGCTATGGGAGTGAGATATGGGCCCTAAGAGAAGAAGATAAACGGAGAATATTGTCTGTAGAGATGGATTACTTACGTAGAAGCGCTAGAGTGTCCAGATTACAAAGAGTGAGAAACGAGGAAATCAGAAACAGAACATCGGCACAAGAAACAGTAATTCAACGAATAGAGAAAAGAGGTTTGAGATGGTTTGGTCATCTAATGAGGATGGAGGACACAAGATGTCCAAAACGTGTATTCAAATGGTCACCCACTGGAAGAAATAAAAGGGGACGCCCGCGTCGGTCCTGGAACGATGGTATACGACATGCGATGAGAGATCGGAATATCGAAGAAGATCTCGTGTACGACAGACATGGCTGGCGATTGAGACTGAGAAGGCAACATTTAGTTGTATAATCTGTATAGTACAGCAACTGTATTTTTATAAGATTAATCCCAAATATATATATATATATATATATATATATATATATATATATATATATATATATATATATATATATATATATATATATATATATATATATATATATATATATATATATATATATATATATATATATATATATATATATATATATATATATATATATATATATATATATATATATATATATATATATATATATATATATATATATATTTATATATAACCATCTAAAATTATAATTGTGTACAGGGGTACAGTATTCTCTGATGATGGCAGCACCGACGGAGAATACACCAAGCCTATATGTTTGTCAGATGTCACGTTGCGGCTTACATCATGAAATTAGCAAGTTACTAGTAAAGGATTAATATAGTTTAAAGCATCAATCAAAAAATATTACGTACCCTCTTTGTCATTAGCATAAATATTATCCACAACTTTGTTGAGAAGTTCCTGGTGTGTCATGTCGCCGCTGTTTTCGTCGAAGATCTTCTTGGAACAATTTTTTTCTTCCTCGTGATGCTCAAAAAATCGCTTCTTGATAGGCTTAGGTGGCATTGTGGCTGTAATGGTGTTAGTAGGACTGGAGAAAATATTTGCGAGTATTTTATCGGTATCCGGTATAGTCTGAATGTGTGGATCTTCATTATTATTGTCCTCAGCCTAAAAAAGATTTGGTTGGTTATGAAACCGTGTTCTCGTAGATTACTTAAAAACCTGTAAATGTTCTAAAAAAAAAATAAAAACTAAAACGTTTTTTGAACAACCGCCGAATATGATACTAGAAAAAAAACTAAACAAAACTAGAAAACGTCATTTTTACTACATCATTAAATAGATATATTCTATGAGAGGATAAAATATAATTTGCTATATTAATAGTATACTTTTTTTAATCAGCTAATGATTAAATGTTTTAAAACATCTTTTAAAATTATAATTATGTACGTTTAAAAAATTTCGTTATAGCCGAAATAGCCCCAATTCCCAATAGCCCCCCACTAGGAAAACCGGTGCGTAAAGCTATGCTCGCTACCCTAGTTGAACTTATCCAAAAAAGTTTTTTTAACTGGAATAATAAATTATAATACAAGTGAGACCTTCTGAAGATATCAAAATATTTACTTATTTCTTTTTATTTTTAGAATTTTCACAAATTATACTTCCTAACACTTTTAGAATAATTATATAATAAATTTTTCGTATATTCGCTATTTAAACCCGTGTATTTGTATATACCAGTTGTTCACGATATTCTCCGATGGTGGCAGCACCGGCGGAGAATGCACCAAGCCTATAGAATTAACTCCAAATACTATTTTATATTCATACATTAAACATAGAGAAACACTGTTGATTCTCTTGACTCTTGACAACTTTGATTTTTTTTTTGTGTAATGTAATATTTGGTATACTCTTACCTTACAGCAATATGTGTCATCCTTCTTGACCAAGGTGTAATTGTTATTCATCAGCGACGTCAGGCCACCAAGTTGCGACTCGTCTGCCAATTTCCCCGGAGTGAATTCCGACGGAAGTAAAGTCGGTGGTGGACTGGATATTGTCGGAACAGGTTTGGAGATGGTGGTGGGACGAGTGGTTAGCGTACGTAGTGGTGGAGCTGGCAATTTGTACCAGCGGAAATCAGGATTGGCTGAGAGAAATGCATCTTTATACTGAAAAAAACAGTAAAGAATAAAGTAAGTAAACCCGATGCAAGTGGATGGACGGAGTGAACGTTTGAAAACTCGGTCGTGCTGTTCCATGACAAGAGAGTAAAATCTACTGACACCCACTGCTCATTCACGCCGCACAGTGGAACAACTACATATATGACAACTACACAGAAACATTGTGATACTTTAGAAAATGTATGCTTATATTTGCGTTCATAACAATTAAAACAAATTTTGATCTTGAAAACACAATAATTTATACAGGGTGTTCCTTAATGACATGCAAATATTTAAGAGCGTGATTCTTGGACCTATTCAAAGAGAAAAAGTTCATATGAAGTTTATATGTCCTAAACATCTTAATTTGTAAGATACAGGGTGGTAAATTTTTCTAAAAAAAAACTTTTTAATAAACCTATTTCATAACAGATTTCTTTATGAAACTTGATACACGTCTTCTATGCATCAAAATACTTTTTTTGGTGCACGCAGAATTTTATTTCAACCAGTGCGGTCCATACGGGTTTTACATTGAACATTTTTGACCTAACCAACCCAACCCAAAAATAATTTTATTTTCAATGTTTCTCGCTTTCTGCTAATCCATTCCAATGTGTGGCGTTTCGACGTAAAACTTCCAGTTAACAGGGTGTATTCCGTTGCTTACCTTGGTTATGGTTTTATGTTCCGTTTCTATCGGTTTCCTGAAAGTTTTCTTATTATGGAACACGGTTCCTGAAAAATATCTATCATAATTGTCACCAAACTAACCAGCGCGAGAAGGCTCGTTTTTCTGGTTTTGTTTGTCAATCAATGCCATTATGTGACAGAAAGCAAGCAAATATTGGAAGTTCGAGTGAAAGTCTCATTTCATTTCTAAAATGTGTAATAATACTTTGTATTTATATCCAAAAGCAATGGAGGTAGGTAGTAAACGTAAATTAATTTCATCAACTAAATAGAATTACTTTTTAGGACTATTTAAACTTTTCATGCAGCTATTGTTTCTTAAGGTCAGGAACATTTAAAGAAAACATGACAAACAAGACAAGTAATCGTGAATATGTTGTGAAGCTATAAAAATATAAATATTGATGAGTTTTGTTTATTTATTATTGATCTATTTTAATATTGGACCTGCAAATCTTGACTTGAGCTGTCTAACGAGTTTAACAGTTTATTAATAAAGTACTTTTCAATATTAAACTCCATTAAAAAGACCAACCAAACGTAAAAGCAGAGAAGGTATTTCTGCTGCAGATGCAAAAGTAGATTAGGTACTTTTGCATCTTTTGCATTTACTACAAAAGCAGTAAAATTAGGTACTGCTTTTGCAGTACCTAATCTGCAAAAGCAGATTAGTACATTAAAAATGCATAAAAGAAAAATTTTATAATAAAGGTATTCAAATTTAGAAAACGTCAACATTTGACATTTCCAGTATTTTACCATAGACAAACAAATAAAAAGAGACTAGCAAATTAAATGGTAAAGAGAGGGACAACGTTCCCGTAGCGCAACTCAGAACGCAAAATTTCGTTCTATTTATCTCATTCTAATATAACAAGAGAGAAAGAAGCAGCCATATAAAACGTAATTTCTAAATAGAAATTAGAACAATCGCCCCTTTCGTTTTCGTTATCATGACAACCAAGATGACAACATCATGACAATTCGTCATATTTGTTAATTTTTTTTGGCGATTTACCTTTTTTTCTAAACTTTCCATTAGGACTTATGAATATCTCCAGGACTTATGAATATCGATAGGGAACAAATTCCTTTGTTCCAGATGTGCGATAATGTCTTACGATACGTTTTATACCTATCTCTTTCTTTTTCATATAAAGCACACATAATAAAGAAAGATAGCAATAAAGACGTACGTCCTGCCATGGTCCTGCTAATTGGTTTCAAAATTGTTATTCTGAGTTGCGCTACGGGAACGCGGTCCCACTCTTTACCATGAGATTTGTCAGTCTCTTTTTATTTGTTTGTCTATGTATTTTACCAAACAGTTCCGTATCAAACCGATGTTTTTCAGGAACCGCTCTTTACCGTAGTTTCCCGGTTTGGTTCGCCTGGTTTTGCAACGGAATACACCTTTAGTAGTAAATTAGCAAGTGAGATACAGGGTGAGTCTTAATAAGTACAAATATTTTTAGGGCTGGTAGATCTCGATAAAAGAAACATATTTTCTCTTTACCGTTTTTCAAATAAATCTAAAATAACCAAGTTACTTTACTTTGACAATTTATGAAAAAAATAATTTTATAGTAAAATTTTGAGAACCACTGTCAATTTTGAGAATCACCGTATCTTTTCTGGGTTTCATTTCTTATAAATTTAATCTACTACCTATGTTGTCATAATATTATGTTTTTTTACTTAAAATTAAAAAAATTTCAAAATAATTTTTTCGTGAAAAAAAAAATCATAGACGTGTTTCTGGGGTCGACATATACTACTCCTAAAAATATTTGCACTTATTTAAGACTCACCCTGTATAATAACAGATTGATGGTTAATATCTAACTGTAAGATGGTTATAATATTCATATTTTCATATAATTCTTTCAATTTATCTAATACAATAGAAAATTAATGCCTATTAAAAGTAATATCTTCATTATTTGTTTAAGTCCAGAAATCAATAAATGAATTACAATAACTGTGTCACTATTAGAAACTACACAACTACATAAAAAATGATTAATTTTGATTTCCTTAATGATATATAAAGTAAGTCGCCAGTATATTTAAAATTTTCCTAACGACTTATTGCCTTAAAAATCAATTATTGTTTTTAATATAGGCTCACTTTGCTATAACAATAGTTTACTTTTGAAACATAAATAGGTCACGTATTATTTCTTTTGTGATGAGAATCGTGGATTCTTCTTTTGCAAATGATTCGCCGTCGTAAGAAGGTACACTCTGTTTTTAGCTGACCATACCAACAAGTATGGTTAGGCAAAAAAAGTTTTTTTTAATTTCACTCAAAATGAGTTATTTGGATCATAAATGACCTAAATACAAAATATTTTCATGGCGTCTGTCTGTCTGTCTGTCCGTCTGTAACACAATAACTCAAAAACCGCTAAACCGATTTTAACCAAATTTGGCGCAAAAATACTGTGCCGCCCGAGAATCTGGCCATTAGTTTTTGGGGGGGTGGGGGGTTGGTAAGGGGGTATGGGAGGGGGTTAAAAATTTAAAAAAATCGTAACTACAAAATTACAGTAGCTAGCGAAACGTAGTTTTCAATTTAAGATTAGGAATAATATTTGCAACAAAATTTGTAATAACATCAAAATCAGTCAAAGTAGCAGTTTTTGAGATAAAAAAAAATTGGGAAAATTCCTTTACTTTGAAACTAAAAGAACTGCCTACCAACTTTTTATTAACATATTTTAGTATGGGCGGCTATACGTGCCACCCGGCGATAATTTTTTTTTCTCAGGTAAGAGTTCGGCAGACTATGCCAGGAAAAAAGGCAGATTAAGTGCACACCAATCCATTTATTTCACTAAAAAAAGTTTCTAATATGTTTGAAGCTATGGAATTTATGGATTACCTATGGAATTTATGGATTATAATGAATCTAATAACAGAGAAAAAATATCCCCGGAAGGCAGGATTTTTAGTTCAATTTTAAAAGGTGTCGGTGAACATTCAAAGTTTTCTTCTTTAAAAAAATCTTTTACAGTTTTAGTGTTTATTGATTAAAAATTGTCATATTTAGCAAAAAAAAATTAGATTACTCTCAGATAGATTTTTTAGGAAACTTCATGTTCTACAAGAATTCGCGATGTAAATTTTTTTATGGTAAACCGTTTCAAATTTATGGTACTTTTAAGGGAAATAGATTTTTTTACGTGTTATTTAAATGAAAAACTTTGAATGTTCACCGACAGCTTTTAAAATTGAGCTAAAAATCCTGCCTTCCGGGGATATTTTTTTCTCGGTTATTAGGTTCATTATAATCCATAATTCCATAGGTTCGTTTTTTTGGCCCACCCTAATACCCATCCAGTAAAGTTTGTATACCATCTCGTATATGGTACTAAAATCTGGAGTATCTGTAAAATAACGACATCACACGATAGGTAAATAATAGATTTTGGTCATGCAGAGAGATAATGTCAAAAAATACTGGCTTAAAAAAATTAGGATTAAAGTTACTCAATCAACTTTTAAGGTATAAAATTCAGTAAGTGTTATTAAAAAAATACTATTTATGAAGTTTTATATGAACTTTTTATGAAGGGTTACGTGAAAAGTCCTGTATTACAATTAGTATAATTACCTGTAAATAATTCATACGTCTAAACACCTTTTAATAAGTATTAATATTTAACAAGATTTATTAAATGATCAGATTAGCATTATAAATTAACGTAGAATTGGCATAAATTTCTTTAACTGTTTTTTTTCTTACTTTACAATTCCCCATTTCGGTAGAGCCAGGTTATTTAAAATATTTAGATTTGTTTGGACTAGTTTCCAATGTATAAACAGTACTAGACTATTAAATGTCAAGGACACGGATAACGCAACCTTTATGATATTAACAGAGAGCTAATTATTGCACATATATGTTATACCTCTTTGGCTAAGTCATTGTAAGGTTGTTTCTCAGCAGCGTTCAAGAGAGCCCACCATTCTCCCAAAATTTTCGTCACTCCCCTATTTTCGGTTGTCGGGTATCTTTGTCTAACGATTGGTCTGTGCTTCTTGCAAAAGATAAGAAAAGCATTCGGAGGTCGTCGAGCGTGATGCGATGGAGAAGTTTCTTCGTGGTCTGGAGTGGATGGCTCAGCATGATGGGTTGTATCCTCCATTTGATCACCTAACAAAATATTTTTCCGTAAAGGTTTTATAACATAAAACGGTCATAGAAGACGATAGTTCTAGCTAGCCCATAGCTAAAACAATCTACCGCAACGAGTCAGAGAATATTTCGAGATAACGAAAAATGACAGAAAATACAACTTGCCTGTGAATTAAAACGACAGACATCTGTTATTGTGAAGGATTCCCCCGTTTGACAAACTAGTTGTTCATTCACAAGTACAATGTGACCAGAAAGTATACTGAATATACAGGGTCGCTGGTAGTAAAAGTATACTGGTATACAGGGTATACAACCCTGAATTGAATATTGAAATTATAATTAATTGAATACGTCGATCAATTCTAATTTATGTAACCAAATCTCTCTCTCGTTTTTTTATCTGAATAAATAAAATAGTTATAGAGGTGAGCCATTTTTGAGACGCACCCGGTATAAGGGGGGCATATAAATAATATTTGTATAAATAGAGGTATAATACCGTATGATCGAAAAAAAACGGCGTCCAGTTGGCTGGAAAATTACGATCGATAACATTTTCCATACTGGTATACAGGGTCGTTAGGTATGGAAACGGTCGATTATTGGGCAAGGTATACAAGGTGCCGCAAAATGTTAGATACAAAAGTTATAGGGTTTTTAAATGCCTAAAATCTTGTAATAAATTTAAGTATACAGGGTCGGTCATAAGGTCGTCGCACCTCAAAGATTCATTTTTTTAATGGAACCCCCCCCTGTATATTATTGGGTATTTCAATTCTTCCTTCAATTTTAAACAAAAATTGTAATACACATAATGTACCTAAATTCAACCGTTTCCGAGATATCGAGTTTTAGTTTCGAAGTGTTTAAACAAAATTTTGTAATTTCCATTTTATACATCTATAAATGCTAACTTCAAAACTATTGTTAAATATTATTAAGTAGACCAGTTTCCGCAGAATGGCATGGTTAAATGAAACCGAACATATCGAAATTAATTAAATCAAATTGTTTTAAGTGGTGTTTTCAAAAGTCAATAACTCGGAAACGGAATTGAGAATTGAAATATGCAATAATATTATATACAAACTTTGATGTGCCACGAATTTATGACTGACCCTGTATACCTAAATTTATTATCGCGAATAGACATTTAAAAATTCTATAACTTTTATATTTAACTTTTTGCGATACCTCGTATATTTTACCCAATAATCGACCGTTCCCATACATATGAGCGACCCTGTACAAATATTAATATTTATTTTTAGTTCTTCGACAGACAACATTAATAAAAGATATCCAAATAAACACAATATGGTTTTAAACGAAAATTCTAAACAACTGTTATTGTTATACAAGGTGTCCCTGAATGATATGCAAATATTTAAAGAGCTTATCTTGGACCTATTCTAAAAAAACTTCAGATGAATGTAGGGCGTAAATATCTTAGTCGAGATCTTAGCTTTTGAGATACATTATTATTAGGATTGATTGACGTATTTTTAATGGCACCCTGTATATTTAAATGGCAATGGTATATTTAAATGGCACCCTCGGTGTATTTTTTCTTTATTCGATAGAAAATGACACTCTGAATAGAATGACATATGGTATGTCATCTTTGACATTTTGGCAAATGGTTTATTTGAAATTGTAACATGCAGTTCATAACGACAATTTGACTCGAAATACCAAGTGTGTAGTACCAAATTATTTGTAAAAAAATGATTTTCCCAAATATGCTAATGAGCCATCCTCGTTCCATTTGAAAAAATTCAGATATGATTAAAAATTCGAAATGGGCATCTTTTAACTGGCCAGGACAAGACACTGAAATCATTAGACAATCAAATCTATTTTTCCAAGGCTCTTTGATTAAAATTAGTGTTTTTAACACGGCCATCTAGATTGTAATTTAAAATAAGATTTTTCTTACAAGAAAACGTCAAAATTTGACATACGATATGTCATTCTATTCAAAGTAGTGTAGTAATTTCCGGTAAAACAGGAAGTGACCAAAAACAATTGAATACGTCAATCAATTCTAATTTATGTAACCAAATCTATCTCTCGCTTTTTATCTGAATAAATAAAATAGTTATAGAGGTGAGCCATATTTGAGATGCACCCGGTATAATAGGGGCATATAAATAATATTTGTATAAATAGAGGTATAATACCGTATGATCGAAAAAAAACGGCGTCCAGTTGGCTCGAAAATGACGATCGATGACATTCTCCATATAATTTTACATATAAAACGACAGCGATCTTCATAGCCATCGCTGACGCCGTTTTTTTTCGATCATACGGTAGTATACTGGGGGAATCTCCGAACAGACCGTAAGTTTTTCTGTATTATGTTGTCGTTTGTTAAAAGTCTATATAAAAGCTAATAATAATACCTATTTAGGATCAAAAATACAAAGTCAACTTAAATTATGTAAAAAAATAAAAAAATGATAGGAAATGTTCTCATTTCTACTTGCTCTTAAAAGGGAACGTTCCCTAGTCACAAATTGAAAACCTCTCTTATTACAACACTAGTAGCTAGTAGCAAAGTATTAATCAAAATACCTGTTTCAGAAAAAGAATCATCAGCTTTGATTAGATTTTGAGCTGCATTTTCATTAATTTCCTCGTCGGTAGTTTTCCCTTCACCTGACTCATCTCTTCTGCTCGCTCCCCAAACTGCTGGAACGTTACTAAGATTCGCTAAGTTTTCTATTTTAACTTTATTGGTATCAAAATTATGCTTTGACCATACTTCTCCAATTTTTTTCTCATTTATAGAAGACATCTGATTACTGTTTTGTACTTTGTGATAGGGCTCCATAAAAGACGAACTGGATAACAAAAAATTATGTCTGGTCGGTTCTATAAAGTTATTTTGTATCGAATTCATAATTTTTCCTTTACCTTCACATAGGTGATTCACAAAAAAGCTTTATCTGAAAACCATAAAAAAGGAAAAAAATTAAGCTGTTGTAGATAATCTGGAATTTATAGAAATTATTGTTTGTACAATACTTATCTTTAAAACAAAAATAAGTTAATGAAAAGAATCAGATATTGTTGTTTAAAAATAATGCCGATAGATTATAATTTCGTACGGATGGACTGGTCGATCCTTTACGTCATTTTTAAAAAAGCGATAAAAATTATATTTTAATATAAACATTAAAAACTACATTGAGTAGAAATATGTGATTTAATTTTCAGTAAAAATTATTTTGAAAATATATTTGTATATCTGATATTAATTAAACTTTTAGTTACGTAATAAAGGGCGCAATTTTTAAATTAATTGTTGTTAACCATGGACATATTCGGCACCGGGCTGACTAACTGAAATTTAAATTTCGCCTTGAGAATTCAGGTGGTACTGCAGTAAAAAATGTCAAGTTGCTGCATTTATTTTTTTATTTCCTGACATTGTCATTCGTTTTGACACTTTAGTTTTTTATTACCGTGAGTTTTTGGTTTAAATAAATAGTGTTGTGATACTTTAAAGTTAAAAATGTTTACTAGCAGACCTTACAGTCGAACATTGCTCTTTTTAGAACCACTTTTAGTGCGAAGCGTACAAGATAGCTTAATAGCCGTAAAAAACTCATCGCAACTTTATTAGAATATTTTGAACGGGAAAGCGGTAGTAATGGCTCTTTATGTCCCTTAAGTGCTGTTAAGAAGGTAAGTTTTCATGATGTAAATAATAACTGCTTATATATGTATTTATAATTAATTTATTTTTGTTTCATAAAATATTTTGATTAAAAGAAAATATGTAAAAGTGGGCAACGCTGTGCCGGTGAAGCTTAATCACGTGATAAAAGTTTATTTGGTATGAACTGTAGGTACTTATGTCTGAAAACGTTTTTTCTTTTCTTTTCTCTTTTCTCCACATTTTTTTGCCAATTTTCAATAAATGACGTTCAGCTTTCAGTATGACAAAAATTATCATCGATCGTCATTTAAAAGGCCACTGTAACGCCGTTTTTTCCCATTGCAAATATATACCGGATGATCGAAAATAAGCGCCAATTTACCTGTGAAATGGCAATCGTAATTTCTAAAGTAAGTATATACTTCGGTCAGACTGGTCAGAGCTGCAAGTTCACAGAAAACTTAAGTATTTTTTTGATTTAAATGATTTTAATGACTTAAGTCAATTTATGTCATATTTCGAAAACTGGCTTGACACTTAAAATTAGTCATTTTCAAAATGATTTGTGATTTAATGAATCTGAATAGAATGACATATCATATGTCAACTTTTGACGTTTTGGCTTAAAAAATCGTATTTTAAATTTCAATCTAGAGTGCCATGGCTGTGTTAAAAACACTAATATGTAGTCAAAGAGACTTGGAAAATAGATTTGGTCATTTAACGTTTTTCGTGTCTTGTCCTGGCTGATTAAAAGATGCCCAAATCGTATTTTTAATCATATCTCATGTTTTCAAATGGAACAAGAATGGCTCATTAGCATATTTGAGAAAATCATTTTTTACGAATAATTTGGTACCAAACACTTGGTATTTCAACTCAAATTGCCGTTATGAACCTAATGTTACAATTTCAAATAAACCATATGAAAAAAAGTCAAAAGTTGACATATCTCATTCTATTGAGAGTGTCATTTTTTATCAAATAAAGTAGAAATATACCGAGGGTGTCATTTAAAAACCAAAAGTTGTAATCATTTCCGGTGAAACAGGAAGTGACCAAAAACAATTGAATAAGTCAATCAATACTAATTTATGTCATATATTAACATACCAAATCGTGTTTGTTTATCTGAAAAAATAAAAAAGTTATCGGGGTGAGCCACTCTTGAGACGCACCCGGTATATATCTACAATAAATCATAAGAAATACAAGAAAATTGATATTAACATTTAAAAAATAGGTACTTAAATTGAATTCTGGTTGTCCTGACTTGATTGTAATTATGTTGATTTAAGTCATTTTACTGATTTAACTTGGAGATAAATCAGTAAAATTTAGGACTTAACATGTAAGTCTTTTTAAAACTGACTTGTTGCTTAGTAAAACATTAAAATTTTATATCTCTCAGAATTAAAGCAAATGCATTGTTCTTAGAATGCATTCAGCCAATTTCAAATGGTTAAAATTAGAATAAACTACCTTTTTATTTTTAATTAAAGGTAATATAACTAAACTTGCATATGACAGGTCTAGGTAAGCTTTGATACAATTGATACAAATACTTAATTTGGTATTATATGTTGTATATATTTTATAGAAAATATTTAGTTGAAAGTATTTCGACATTTGCCTTACAGGGACAATAAATTATTCACATTTTACAGTAATTAAACAACAAAATTTAGTAAAATATTTATCAAATAGCTAAAATACCTATGTAAAAAATACAAAGAATTTATTCAGAACTAGAACAATAGAATATAGCTCATTAAATAAAAAGAAAACCTAGATAGTGTTAATTACAACTGCTCTATTGATAAGCCATCTGACTGACATAAATAAAAATTATTAAAAAGGTGTAATTAATTAATACAAAATTGAACTTCTAACAGATGTTTATGAGTTTATGGTTCCTTTCTGCCTACCCACCTCTCAGTAAATTAGTTGTAACGATAATAAATTCATTTCAATGTCACCGAATTTATATAAAAACCATTATGATTTATTTAAAGAATTAAGAAATACTTCTCTATTATTGGCCTACTTGTATTACAGGTTGCACTTTCTCATGAAAATCCTTTAAAAAGAGATGTTTCAAGGTTAACTGTGATCTACAAACAACATAAACATTTTGGGACTCCATAATTAAAGCTTTATAACATTTTTTATGCATGTCGCGGGTTACGAAGTGTTTTCAACATTGTTAAAACTTGTTCAAGGACGTTTGAACAGCTAAATCAAAATTCACGGTTTATTTACTTAAAATATTGATTTTGCCCACTGCCATTACTTAAATTATAGAACTAAACTATCAAGTAATCTTCCGATATATAAATTCCTAAGGAATATGTAATAATTAGAAAGGAAATTTGGATATTTACCTCTTAATTTCTCGTACTTCATAAATAAACGCAATCACATGACGTCACACTATGGAAATTACACGATTTTTCTTATAACGGAACGAAAAAAACTGGAATTTCTAAAAGAAAAAGAAAAAGGAGGAAGCACTCAGGTCACTTTTCTGTCATAACTAAAAATTTAAGTAAGTTATTTTAAGAAAAAGCCGCACGAAAAATGCAATCAAGATGTCTGTATCTGTTTAGATTTTGTCAGTCAGCTGTTCCCCACTCTTCAATTTACCTCCCCTCCAACCGTTCTGTCATTAATCCGAGCTTTCGATTGGTGTAAGCACAACAATTAATTTATTGCATTTTTCCTTTGCCCTTGTGACATATATTTAATTTTTAACATTCCCGTCGTAATTTTTTACCTTAATATTTAAATTTTTAATACACTAATAGGATATCGGGCAAATAAATAATTTAAATCTATTTAAGCTGTCACAAACTGGCTTTAAATTCTGATTTTAACATTGCGGTGGGCGTGTCCAAATGACATTTCTATTTTTTGTTTATTTTGAAATTTGATGAAAAACAATACTCTATCTTGTTTCACACATACCTAGATAAATATTTTTTTTGATTTTATTGTTCTATGCCTAAGTTCTATGCATATTTAAAAAAAGTAGCATAATGAGAAAAGTAACTATAAATAAACCTACTTTCACCTATTCCCTTTAATTAGAATAATTTTTTTAATAATCGATGAAACTTTATAAAATAAATAGGTATGTAATATAGATTTTTTGAAGCGGGATTTAAATTAATTCAGAAAATATGGAATATAAAAATAATAAAATTCACCATTAAATATTTTCAACAAACATTTTGGAAAGCAAGTATTGACGTTTTCCGTTTTTTTTACCATTTCGAAATAAAAATGGAGGTAAAAAACGTAAAAAGTGTCTTTCACTTAAATATATCTTGTACTTTTTTTCTTTTACTACTTTGAACAACTCTTAAAAATGTTTTTCAACATTACATTTTTACATGTCAATAACTATTTTTTATTACAATATTATATCAGCTACTCATCCCTGGTAGGTAATGACAAATTCCATGTTATTCTACTAGATGACAGATGCCGCCACAGTGGCAATCAGCTGTTTTAAGAATAAAAATATGATAAAAATGTTTATTTTTTCTCCTATTTTGACAACCATTTTTTAAAGGTTATATTTTTAATAATATTGAGGTGGCATGTAGGTAATTAGTAAAGTTTGGGGACATGCTGTGCTATTACAAATATCAAGCTTATACTTACTTAAATCGCCCACACTCGTCCATCTTTGAAATGTTATGAAATTGAATTTAAATATAAATTTATTCCATCATGATTGCCGTACAGAATTATTCTGTACTTTTAGTGTGTTTCTTTATTGCTATAATTTCTAGTGATCAGAACACTACTGCTTTTACTGGTAATTCAACTGGAAATAAGGATTTATATATTGAAGCCGAGAATGTTAGAAAAGTAAATAAATCAATGCAAATGCAAACTTCCAAGCAAGTTGTGTCGTCAACTTTGGGAACACATATGGGAAGAGAACATGTAATGATATCCCCTAATCCTAACATAATTACTACAACAAACAGCACAGTACAAGGTAATTATTCCTATTTTAAGATGTTATTGGTTATAAGTATGAAATGTGCTAATTTTTAGCTAATTCTGAACCTGTAAAACCTGTTCACGAGGGTGCACGCCCTATTGCAGATCTCGATATAGCACCAAAACAAGACGACGACAAGCCCAGTGTGCCAAAAAAAAGTGTCAAGTTTGTTGATGTAGAACCACCAACTAATGTTTCCACAAATTTAAGTAACAAGAAAATTGATACCAATTCCAGTGGATTAGACAGTAACTTGAAAAAAGTTTTTAATATAACTGAAACCGTTCCAAAAACTAATGCTTCCATTGTAATTCACAAAAGCAAGAAGCCTTTAGTGACAGAATCTGATAGTGATTATATTGATCTATCAAGCCCAGAAGAAAATGTTATAAGTGCCGATCAAATTGATCCCCTATTGTCCAAAAAACAAAGTAAACGTTCCGATTATATTGTGCCAATTGTGGTTGTTATTTTGTCTGTGCCCCTGGTGGCAATAGCATTATCTTTTGTCTATAAACGCGTTGCTTATTGGTGGCAGCATAGAAATTATAAGAGAATGGACTTTCTTATTGAAGGAATGTATCATAACTGATTATCTATTATTTAGAAAAATACCATAGGACCAAAATTAATAGCGCTGATTTTTGCATAGAAATGCCAGTCTATGATAATTTTAAGTATTATTTTTATTGAAAGTTATTAACTTCGATCAAAATTTCAAAGGTCACTTTGACGCTTTTTTCTTTTGATTACTTTTTGAAAGATTATTTTAATTTTAGAATAACCTTTATACATACATGTTTATTGTTTTCATATTTTATAATGTTGACCCAAAGATAATTAATATCTAACTATATTGTTGACTACTTACTACTTTTTTATGATAAGGCATTTATTTTCGCAATATATAAAAGTGTATATTTTATAAATATTTATATATTTGTTGAATGCAGTGATAAAAGGTATAAAATATTTTTTCTGGAAGTTTACCAATCTAAACATAAGTGCCTTAGAGCAATAATCTTGTTGTGATACATTTTCAATACCTAGGGATACATGTATTTTTCTATGTGTAGAATAAAAACTGCTTTGTAACAGAATGCGTTTTATTTACCCCATTATTAGATACAAACATTACATAATGATACTGTTAAATGTTATACAAATGACTGTATTAATGAATATTGTATTGTACACATAAGGAGGATGAGAGAGAGCAATGCTACTGTTGAAAGTTAATATATACCTATAGGTAATGTAGGATGCTATATGCATATACTATGCTATCTGTGGTATGTATTCAAAAACATTGAAGAAGTTACAGTGTTGTTGAAATCGAAATATTTAGCAAATTATATGGTATAGATATTTAAAGCATTATGAGAAATAATTTCTTTGACTTGACTTTCTTGACTGTTATTTTATAAATAATATTAATATAATATTTATAACCGTGTACATTATAAAACAAAAACGTTTTTTTTATATGGATACAGGATGTCCCAGAAATAAATGTAAGTATTCTAACTGGTAGTATATTGCGGCCTCAGAAACACGCCTATGAGGTATTTTTTGCGAAAAAAAAATTTGAAAATTTGGAATTTTTTTTTAAAAATTTTGGAAATTATTTTAGTTTCAAGATAAAAAACATAATTTCATGATAATATGGCAACATAGGTAGTAGCTTAAATTTACATGAAAAAAAATCCAGAAAAGATCCAGTGGTTGGTTCTCAAAATTTTAGCAAAAAATATTTTTTTTTTAATTTTCAAAGAAAAATAACTCGGTTATTTTGGACTTATTTGAAAAACGGTAAAGAGAAAAAATGTTCCTTTTGACCAGATCTACCACCGTCTAAAATACTTGCACTTATTTCTGGGACACCCTGTATATAAATATATTATAAAATAAAAATCTTATAGGCCATATTTCCATTTTTTTATATAACAATATTTCAAATTATTGCACAGTAAAAAATAAAACTGTTAAATATGTATAATGAGATATATATTAAGACTACTTTAGAAATCACATTTTGCTTTCTGCAATTCTTTCCTGGTCATATACAGGAGATTTAAATGACTCTTACCAGTATATGTATATGTCTTACTTTAGTACAATTTAAAATAAAATATGTTAGAACACATAAACAAAAACATTGTAGCATATAAGACCTCTAAAATAACATTTCAGTTTATTGTTTGCAATTATTAAAACTACGATAAACATCAGAGAATGTATTTTTATTTTCAGCATTAAATATTTTTTACAAATAATGGTATTTGTATGGTTTTAATAGTGAAACGTTATTTTGTACTTACATCTCCTGTAACATATTTTTTCTGCCCATTTAGTGTTTGCATAAAATTATTTATCTTCAATATATTTTTACTAATTTATTTAATTTTTACAGGGTGTCACACTAATCAAAAATATTTTGTTTTTTAACATATTAAGCATAATAATATGTTAATAAATAAGTTTGCTTTTGTTCGACCATTTATATATAATGGGACACCCTGTAGTTTACAACAAATTACATAAAATAAAATTGTTAATTACATCCATTATAAAAATGCTGATGTATAATAAAAACATGTATGAATAAGATTTATAGCGATTTTGTTCAACTTGATTATTTAAACCCTGTATAACATTTATACAAATATACAATCTCTTCTCCTTTATACAGAGAGCCAGTCTTATCTATCACACTCGTTTAAGAACCATTCTCTAAAAAGTTACTTAGAAAAAATTCTTCTATGATCAATAATGAACAATATTAATTGTTTAACTTATAGGTAAACTGTATAACGCATATATGAAACATAATATCTAAAATATACATAGCAAGTAAAAAAATAATTACTTTCAGTAACAGTTCACACAAATTACACCTTTTATCATTATAGAAATTAAATATACAGGGTGATCTGGGTAATACACTGTGTCAAACAGCTCCATCATGTTTCTTACTTGAGATTATTATTCCAATTTATTTTAAATACAAAGCAAATACGCAGCCATTGATTGCGCTAGAATATTTCTTGGTAAGTTAAAAGAAGATATTTTTAAAACACAGGTTTTGTCCTTTTTTGCTAAATTTTATTTATAAAGAGCAAGAATCTCAATGGATATCTAATTTTATTGGTAGGTGTTTATCATGAAGTGCATGGCATTCTATTTTTCAACAAAAATTAATATTTATAGTCTAGAAATGATAAAATTTTTGATGAACCACTCAATTTTGAATTTGCAATATTTTTAAAATGAAAACGAAAAACTTATGACTAAATTTCTTCAAAGAAATACAATTTTTTAATGTCTAAATAAATTGTCACCCTGTATACGAACGTAGCAAAAAAAGGTAGACATTTCGGCACGTTGAAAAATGATAACAGAGAATATTTAATTTCAAAAATAGTACATAAATTTATACAGGGTGGCGCACACCTCATTCGCCTCGGTTGATTATACGAAAACGGAAAGATGTAGGAACAAAATATTTGATGGGTATATGTGGGAAGGCAGTGTGCATAATTTAAAGTTATTTTGAAATGGACAGGGTATGTCAGAACTAAGATCCACACCAAAGTTATATTTTTTCTTATGGAACACCCGGTATTTTATTTCATATTTGGATCCTTGGACACAAAATAAGGCATTTATTATAAGGGATAAATATGTTTACAAGCTTTGGTTTTTGAGATATTTAAAAATATTTAAATATGCATGTTATAATAAAAAAGATTGTGAACAGTCAACACACTGTACATTGCTTTTGAGAATTAATTATTGTGCTGACTTTTAAGTTTAATGTATACAGGGGTATCAAAAATTGCTGGTCTATTTTAAATATTTATTTTACATAAAAACTTCGTTATTTCATATACTACACCCTGTATTTTTTAAAATAAATCGAAGCTGATTCAAATGCTTTTACAAACTTATATTATAGTTTCCTATATCTCAGATTTTGAATAAAGAGCAATTTTTCGGTAAACAAGCCATTTTTTTAGCCATTTTTAGGCCCAAGAAACCAAAAATGAAATATAATACCGGGTGTTCCATAAGAAAAAATATACCGTTGGTATGGATCTTAGTTCTGAAACACCCTGTATATTTAAAAAAAATTAAATTGTGCACATTGCCTCCCAATATAGCCATAAAATATTTTGTTTCTACATTTTTCCGTTTTCGTATAATTAAACGAGGCCAATAAAATGCGCCACCCTGTATAATTAATTTAGACAACTTGCTCAAAAAAAAATCATACATACATACAATGAAATTGTAGTCATTTTTTTTTAATAAGTAAAAAATATTTTTTATCGTCTTTCAGTGATATTTAAAGTATTGGTCACGGATTTCCAGATTTACTAAATGCTTCCATATTCTTTTATGTTAGATTATTTATGAATATACAGGGTGTCCCACTATTCCATGGACATAGAAATACTACCAAACTATTACGTATTTTTGGGATCCAAATAAGTTCATTTGATACAATTTACCACTATATGTATAGGAGTGTGCGTTTAATTTTTTTAAATAATAATGATAATGTTAATTTGATAATTTTAACAGAACGTCAACGGTTTTTGTAGACTTATCTGTTTTTAAAAAAAACTAAAGTGTTCTTGAATAGTTGAATTTAAATATTTTAAATAGTTTTTTCTTTACGCTTTGTATTTTTTTGCTTCCGACGGCGGAAAGAGATAAACTTTCCGAAACGTTCCGAAGCTGACTTACAAAAAACATTTTTTTGACACATCAAGCTATGTATGCGCATAAAATCTAGTATGCGCTGATAATATATAAAACAATATTGAATGTTATGTTAGTATTATAAATGATATTTGACAATAAGCTTCATAAATTTAAAATTAATTGAAGTTCCGGTTTATTTTTGATTGATGCCCTCTAACGGACAAACAAAGCACTTATGTGACTTATTTTGATTAAAAAAATATGTATTGTTCTATGTCCACGGAATATTTATTTCTCTGTATATTTTGTAGGTCTGCTTTGAAAAAAAAATAACAAACTTTTTTTTCTCAAAACTATACGATATGGCTAAACTATATAACGATTTTTTTACAAGGTTCAACAGTTGGAAAATATTTCTGCTAAAATTTATATAGTGGTGGGGGAGGTACTTTTTACCCTTCCCGTACCTATTCTCCTATTCCTTCATTTTTGTGAAAATTAAATGTTAAAGCGCTTAAATCTTATTCAAATCAAGTTTGATGCGCCTCCAACCAGCCAGACAAACGAAGCACTTGTATAGAGGTAAATTGTGTCCATTGAACTTATTTTGATTCTATAAATACGTAGTAGTTCTATGTCCACGGTCTACGGAATATTGGGACACCCTGTATAACTATGAAAAACCTGGAATGCTCATATTTACAGGCAAACTAATATACGCAAAAGCGATTATTTTATTTTTTTTTAAAAATAATTGACTACTGAATTAAAAACACCTGGTCCATGTTTAATACTAAAATATATTATTTCCATTAGTTGAAAACGTAAAATTGTTCTTTACCTAATAATCTGAAGTGTGGAAATTACCTTTTATTCGTACTAGATACGCTAAATTTTCATAATGAATAAATATAGAGTAGATTCTATGTAGTAACGGTATTTGAGTATAATGTTCCAATGGAATCATTTACTGATTTTTTACTTCGTACTGCATCTTCCAATAGTCCATCTTGGTTTGTTGCGTGTCCGGTATGGCTTCCCTTGGCGGAATGAAACTGAGCATCATGATATGCCTAAGGTACGCTCTGGTCTGTCTGAAAGCGGAGTCTGTCCCGTGGATCCTGTCCAATACACCCAGGACACCGAAACAGTTATTAAATCTATAAAGAAATAATATTGCCTAGTTTAACAATTTTGTATTTTTTATATGTATACGTACAGGGTGTATGGTCTCTCTATCTAACAATATATGGATTTGACTGGACTACATTTTAAAATTTGAAACTCTCTACAGTACTCTGTATAAAGCATGAGGCCCAAAAGAAGAATTGCGTGTATATAAAAGTACAAGTCTTTGACTTAAGTCATTTTATTTCAAGTCAGGTCATTTTTGTAAAGACTTAAATCAATATAACATTATTTAAGTCGTTTTTATGACTTAAGTCTATATTTTTGACTTAAATCAATATAATTGATAAAGAATTTTTGTAACATCCAGTCTCTCAATACTGTATACCACAGCCCAACTCTACTTAACAGGCCGTGAACAAGGAAATCTGGCAACCCTGGTTTCAGATCGATCGATTCACGTTTAGCCATAATATCATTTACGTTCATTGACCTGTTTGAATGTTTTGTTAATAAATCCGCTTTTTTGAAAGAAAATATTGTTTAGTTAAAGACTAAAGTTGTGAAAAGTATTACTGTGTAAGATTTGTAAGTTACCGGGACAATTTTTTTCTGTAGACATTGTGTAAAAACAAATATCCGTGGGTGAAAAATTCGCCGGGTTATAAGTGAGGTTAAGTGCTTTCTTCAAAGAATGGCGGCAAATTCGGCGGCGAATGAACATTTTGTGGTGCTGTTTAAAACAATTTATTGAAAGTTAGTTGCTGTCGTAATCAAAAATTACCATGCCAAATCCTTGTTGTGTGCCTGGGTGCAAATCCAATTATAAAACTTGTCTTGATGCAGGAGAACCGGCGGTATCTGTTTTTACCTTTCCAAAGGATGAAAACCTTAAAGCCCAATTGCTTAGGAATATTCCTAGGGAGGCATGGTCACCCTCAAAATATTCTGTGGTTTGTGCTAAGCATTTTGTAGAAAGTGACATTATTAGGGAGGAGGATTATCGCTTGCCAGATGGATCAATGCAAAAAGTACCTACTAAAACTAGACTAAAGTTATATCTTTGGTTAAATACAATGCCTATTATATCTTTCCAAATTTGCCACATTACTTGTCAAAAACAGTCCCTGTTCCCCGAAAAAGTCCTGCTGAAAGAACCAAAGAAATGCAAGATCGAAGTGAGCAATTTAAGCATTTCTTTGGTTCTTTCAGCAGGACATTTTCGGGAAACAGGAACTGTTTTTGACAAGTAATGTGGCAATTTTTTTAGTTTTTTTGTGGCAAACCTTAAATTCATTTAAAAATACTCGCCTCGATAGCCGATAAAACGGCCCGTCGCGCATTCGCGCTCGCTACAAACCATAGACAAACTAACAAAAGCAAGACTTTTCAAAGGATTGAGGAAGTCGAATTATTGTTTTTGCGCTGGCCAGTTGAGTCAGAAATCATCGCGCAGTCGCACTCGTCAAACCTAACCTAAATAAAACGAAAAACGTTATTGCCTTGAACCATCCTTGAACGAACTGTTGAATTCCTGATTTTGCGTTTTTTTTGGGTTATTACTATTATTTTATTAGCGTACAAAACGAAAACAAATAATTTAATACATTTTACATTTATGAAGAACATAATAATTACTGTGATTATACATATTATTGTGATTACATCGCTAACGTAGACAAAACGAAGGTCCTACAAATTGACTGTAAGTTATAAGAATCTTTATCTTTTTAATCTTTTTATGATTTGAATTTTTGTGCTTTATATTTTATAATAGACTCGAAATGTTAATATTTTTGAAAATTCTTGTGAAAATGTGAAGTTTATGTTTTATATTTGAAAAAGTTGTATATTTTTAAGATGTTTCTTGTTGTTCCTATTATTAATATTATAATATACATAATAATTTTTTTGTACCTTTTGAAGAATAATGCTTTTATTTCGTTTACCATAACTGTTGTTTTTTTATCATCTTTTTTGTTATTTTAATAAGAGGAATACGTTTTCGTTTTTTAACTTTTGTTTTTATATCTGTTATGTCCAGAAATTATTGTTTATTTTACCGATGGAAATAAATTTATTTGATTTTAATAAACGCTTTTTAATTAAACATCCTTGTCTAAAAGGCTACTACAAAATACACAATCCATAAGTAAACCGTCCTCGTCTAAAAGGCCAGTTGACGCAAGCGCGGTGATAAACTCTTATCAAACTTGTTACCGTTTTGCAGTACAGCATTGACGCGTCTTGCTTTTGTTAGTTTGTCTATGCTACAAACCGATCTGAATCTCTTGACGGTTGCGGCGTTGCCAAATGGTTGTTCACGGCTTGTTAAGTAGAGTCGGGCTGTGTTTATACTTTGCTTATGTACGATCTAGGCTCGAGTGCGGATGTATAATCTGGAACCCCTTCTATACTGAATATATTAATGTGCTCGAAGGTGTCCAACGAAGATTTCTTAAATACCTAACCTTTAAAATCTATGGCACTTAACCTGCTCGTGGCTACGATAACAACTTACTATTGCAAATAAGGTTCCATAGTATCAAACTTCACAAAGACGAGGTTACCTATGTTTAATGTTTTTATTTAAATTGGTTAGGAATTTTAATAATTGCGAGACATTACTGAGTGATGTAAATATTCGAGTACCGTCAGTGACAACCAAAAATAAAGAATTTTTCTATTTACCTACAGCCTCCAACAATCTGTTGTTAAGACAACCAGTCTACCATATGTGTCACATTTTCAATAGATTGTCCACTGATTTGGACATTTTTCATATGACGCTTGTGCAGTACCGCTTGGAAATCGGATAAATAATGTTATTTAAGTCGTTTTTATGAATTAAATCGATATAGGTAATTACCCTCAAGTCAAGACAACCATAATTCAATTTAAGTACCTTTTTTTAAATGTTAATATTAATTTTCATGTGTTACTAATTAGCAGATGCAGATGAGACAAAAACCACATAAAATAAAACGGTTAATTTACAGAATAACTACAAACACAAAAATATGTTTTTTTTTTAAAAATTCTAAAAAAATTTTATAAATATACTTTATATTAAAAAATAAAATCTAGGAACTAGTGGGGTTGCAGTCGGAAGGGTTTGGACTAGAATTAATACACTTTGTTAATTGTCAAGCTTTCGGAATTTATTTATTCCATCCTCAGGACATCAACGACAACAAAAAGACCTTCATAAAAACTACATTAAAAATAGGCTTGAGAGATACATGGAAAACTCCACAGTAAAAACATCACTGACCAGTCAACTACACTAAGGGCTATCTTGGGGCGGTTAAGCCGCCTGATTGTTTATTAAAACATTGGAAATCATTCTCACTTCCAAAAAAGATGTTTTCTAACGGTTGATAAATGATTTCTAATGGAATTATGAGGAATTGTTCCCAATTTCCGTTTTATTCGACAAAATCAATCAAATCGCAATTCATAGGTATAACGATTTCGCTGAGTAGCCTAATTAACGGATATCTAAAACAGTAGCGGCTTTGTACAAACATGGATAGTGTGGTCACGGTTTCCTGCAGTTATTAGGGTCAGTTGTTAGAAATAGAAAGGGATTGAGCCAAATTCCCCTTTGAAGTGTTCAATAGTACACCGACTGATATTTTGAAACTGCTGCACGCACTGGTTTAAATTTTGATACATATTGTATATAAACTTCTGCAATGCTATAGTTCAAAAGCAAACTAATCTTTACGTTGCTATATACCGGGTGCGTCTCAAAAGTGATTCACCTCTATAACTTTTTTATTTTTTCAGATAAAAAAACCAGATTTGGTATGTTAGTATGTGACATAAATTAGGATTGAATGACGTTAGGATTGAATTGTTTTTGGTCACTTCCTGGTAGTCACTTCCTTCACTGGAAATGACACCAACTTTTGATTTTTAAAAGCACCCTCGCTATTTTTTTACTTTATTCGATAGAAAATGACACTCTGAATAGAATGACATATCATATGTCAACTTTTCACATTTTTGTTTTAAAAAAAATCGTATTTTAAATTTCAGTCTAGAGTGCCATGGCTGTGTTAACAACAATAATTTTTAATCAATCTTTCATGTCTTGTCCTGGCCGGTTAAAAGATGCCCAAATCGTATTTTTAATCATATCTCAATCAATCACTAGGGTGGCTCATTAGCATATTAGGAAAAAGCATTTTTTACAAATAACTTGGTACAATTAAAAAGTTAGTGGCATTTTCTATCGAATAAAGTAAAAAAACCAAGGGTGCCATATAAAAATCAAAAGTTATAGTCATTTCCGGGGAAACAGGAAGTGACCAAAAACAACTGAATACGTCAATCAATTCTAATTTATGTCATATACTAATAAACAAAATCTCGTCTTTTTATCTGACAAAAATAAAAAAATTTGAGACACACCCGGTGTATACCTATAGCGAAGATCTGATGATTTTTTATATAACTGATTTAGGAATTGCAAATATCTATATTATTACATAAAAAAACTCAAAATTTAAGTGAGGATGCAGTCCATAATCACCATACAGGATAATAAAACTACTTTTTCAATTTGTCAAGCTTTCGAGAATTTTATTCCCATCTTCAGGACAGTTTGACTCAGTCAAATAGCAAAACAACATCCTCTGCACAATAAGGCCTTAAAAACTAACATCATATAACACAAGGAAATTTCCTTTATAAGATATTAAAATACATATAAAAAAAAAATAAAAAAAAAAATAAAAAATAAAAAAAAATAAAAAATAAATAAAAATGCTTGCGATTCGGAGCCTCGCAGCGACATATTATGTGCTCCGCTGTTTCAGGATCTTTCAGCTGTCAAGTGTTAAAAAAAAAATCTAAAAAATCTAAACGACGCGAGACGTTCTTTAAAAAAATATATTGACAGCATCCTCACTTAAATTTTGAGTTTTTTCTTAACTTAGTCAGTCACGACTAAACCTGCTATTTTTATATTATTACACATAAGTAATACGGAGCCATCAAAAATGATTGAAATAGTTGGCAATACTGTATTAGAGTAGATTTTCCACATTTTTATATAGAAGTTTTTGGATATTCAGGATTAGTAATCTCTGAAATTAATCCGGACAAAATCAGAACTTCGCCGAAAAATAAATTGTGAGTTTATTTATGGAAAGTCTGTCTAACGAAGGGAAAACACCTGACCTTGAGAGTCGTTGTCTGTAATTTTAATTCACAGGTAAGATGTATTTTCTGTCATTTTTTGGAAACCGACTAACACAGAGATAAAAAATATTCAAATTTCTTAAATTTATTGTTAACCACAGGAGCAAAATATGAATAAGACAACTACATATTTCAATCATTGTTCATCGCTCCGTATTTATGCAAATTATTCTCTTACTTCAAATGATGGAAATCGTGGGCCTCCGGACTGGGAAAAAACGGCAAATGGTATCCAGAATGGGCGTTCAGCGTACTAAGAATGGCCAGAGTAAACCATAACCACGCGGTGGCCACATGGGATCCCATAAGGAACACACCCAGAAAAGGTGGCACTAAATTTGAAAAGATGTGCTCTATCGGATGGCAATAGATTGCCGTCACCGCTATCGGTGCCGTCCATTCGTGATGCTGTTTGTGGATGTATTTGTAAATACGTTTATTATGTAAAAACCTGAAACAAAAATATGCTTTTATACGGGATAGAACTACTACGTATTTTTGGAATCAAAATAAGTTTATTGAACACACAGGACTGTGAGAACACATTAGGAGTTCGTTTACAACATCCGGGATTCTCCACTAATGTCCTAAAGATGGCGCGCCATTCAAATCTCTGTCGGTAACACCCTTTAACGGTTATTAGTTTTTTTCCACAACAAGAGGCCGTCTTCTGCCGGAAACACTGCGACCTGTGAGGCCTATTGTATTTATCCCCTTTCTATATCGTTTGTCCCCTTTCTATCTATCTGCACCCATTCTCCTATCCCTGTGCCCTGCATTAACTTATGCAGGTCCTTGATAGGATGGGAGCATAGTTCCTCCGGTTCTAGCCTAGCTTTTCCAAATAAAAATGCTTGCGATTCAGAGCCTCGCAGCGACATATTATGTGCTCCGCTGTTTCAGGATCTTTCAGCTGTCAAGTGTTAAAAAAAAAATTTGGATGCGGTTTGGACCAGATTTTAGATGCATCTATTGTGATTAAGATGCTATGTGGTTTTCGAAAATATATTTAGTGAATTCTCGTATACAGGGTGTTTTATAAGAGTGTGAAAATTTGGTTAAGAATCTTTTTTACCGCAAATTTACAATTTTTAAAAAATCGAAATTAAAAGTAAGTAATTGAAAAGTACGACTAATCTGTATTGAAATTAGAAAAAACAATTTGAGCGTTTTTTTTAATTTTTTTTGTTTTAAAGAAAATACGACGTTTTTTCGAAAAATATGCATTTTTAGTCATACCTATGGTCCTAAATGGTACAAAAAGCTTTGTACATTCTGCATATGCCAAAAAATTATCCATATAGAGTGCATCTAAAAGCAGATAACTAACACAAGTTAAAAAAACTTCAACATCAGAATAATATTTTTATTTATAAAATAAGTAGATAAATTATAATAAAATTTAAGTTTATTTAATATTAAATATATTTTTTGAACACTCTGTATACATCGGTCCAAATTTCTGTACTGCTAGTTTAAGATACACGCTATATCAATATATTATGGGCCTATGCAAAATGTACAATGCCTTTTGTACCATTTAGGACCAAATGTATGACTATTGTTTACAGTACCGCAATTTTGCGGATCCGCGGGATTGAGATTTTGGTGCGGGATTGCATTCCCTAATTAGTACTATTAGGTCCATTTTACGAAAAAATCAATCGTCGGTGGAGTTGAAAAATATTTCTACAAAAATTTATGTAGTGGTGGGGGCACTTTTCATCCTTCCCGTAACTTTTCTTGTTTTTTTTTTGTGAAAGTCAAATGCTAAAGCGCTTAGCAAAACATAATCACCCGAAATCTCATTCAGATCGGAATATTGGTTCATAAAATATCTTAACAAATGTTATTTTTTTTTAAAATATGGTGCCTTCTAACGGAGAAACAAAGCACTTTTGTGTAGAGGTAAATTGTGTCCAATGATTTTTTCGAATTCGATTCCAAAAACATGTAGTAGTTAGGTATATATCCACGGAATATTAAAACACCCTGTATATACAGGGCGGTGCGAAATGTATTTCGGAAACTTCGGCAGCAGATTCTGCAGATAAAAATAAGTAAAAAAGTCAGTATAAATGTATGTCCTGAAATGCTTAGTTTCGGAGATATAGGGTGTAAGATTTTCATTTAGGACATATATTTATTTATACGAATTTTTTAATTATTTTTATCTGCAGAATATGCTGCCGAAGTTTCCGGAATATAGTCCGGACCACCCTGTAGATGTAGAAGTATTTGATGTAAATAGATCTAAAAACAGTATTACCTATGCGAATAATAAAAACCGGCTTCCTCGGTTAGGATATGTATTGCCAACTCGTACAACACCCAGTGGAAGGTTGGCAATTCCCTAATGCCAGGATAGCCCCTCCATTTCATACAGTAATACATTATGTATGATGAAGGTATGCCGATAGCTATTTGGTTCAGAATAACGCACCATATTACCTGAAAAGCAATTCAATGTTGTATTCCATATTGTATAGAGGGTGCCCAGTGCCCAGGCTGAGCGTTCATTAGAAGTTTCTAGAAAACTACAATATGTAGATCGGAGATTTTTTGCACATAGTTGTTTCATAATGAGATCTACCGATAAAAAAATATTTCCAATATGGCGACATTTCCGGAAATACCGGAAGTTGACAACAACTTTCTTATATAACATCTGTACCCAGAAGCAAACTATGTTAAGTCACAAAACACAGTTTTCAGAAAAATGAATTTAAAGATCTTTTTTGAAGTTATTTCCTAATTACTCGGTTATTTTTAAACCTATGACTGTAATATTTATAAATGAAATGTAAAACAGTTTTTAAATAAATTGTACCAACATTTTTTGGAGTGACTCAAGACTCAAATATGCCAGTTTTAGATTTAACATAGTTTGGTTATAGAAACATATATTTATAATATATATTTTGTAAATTTTATGAATTCTGATGACAAACACTCTATACCTAACAATAACCGTTTTTGAGAAAAAATGTTTAACATTTTTGGAGAAAAAGAAACTGCCTGTCAAAAAAATGTGTATAGCCTAAACATTGAATTTTGTGATTCCACAGCCACTGTGGCATAAATAGAAGACATATGGCTATCTATATACTTCAAAGATTAAATTGTTCGAATGTCATATAATATTGGCCGTAGCTGTCATGGAACTGAGGGATTAAAAAATTATCATAAATCATTTTTTTTTAATGGAAACTCACTTTTTTTATTTCGCTAGTGAAAAGGTTTTTTGAAAAACTATACCTAAAATAAATCGTTAAGTTATTTAAGAATTAGTTTTGAAGCGTATAGACAATGGAAATTCTTTTAAGGCTGTCCCTGTCACGGTAAAAGTGTACTTTGACCAAATACGGTGGCGTCCAAATAAGACGCGCGCAGCATCCAACTCTATTTGATCATGATTTCATCCAAGTACACTTTAACCGTGTCAACTAGGCTTTAGATAAGACACAGAACGCAACAGAAGTTTGGAAGTTTTGTCCGCATAATAAACAGAGAATTTATATTCGAAAATATTTATTAGTACCGTATGATCGAAAAAAAATGGTGTCCAGTTGGCTGGGAAATGACAAGCGATGACATTTGCCATATAAATTTGCTAATATAAAATGACAGCGATCTTCATTTCATAGCCATCGCTGACGCCGTTTTTTTTGATCATATGGTATATCTTCCCCTCAAAATATCTTTACAGTTAACATCCTATATTATTAAATTAGGATTCTAGATTGGAATTAAAATGTAATATTTTTTATATTGTTGATATATGTTTGATAATATAACAATAGAACGAAAATACCTAAATATAATGAAATGATACAAATTCATCACTCATCAATGGTATTCGACAACACATTTTAAAAATAAACGGCATGTAAACAATTTGATAATTTTTCAGTATTCGCATATTTTATTTATTAAATGTATACATTGCCCCTAAAAATATCAAAGAATTTTTGTTTAATGGGAAATGAAATTTGTATTTCAAATAGATTCAGTGAACAATTTGTTTACATGAATATTTATCCAGGGGCATTTGAAAGCTGACATTTTTGTTTCTCGAGGGTACAAACTCTAATTAGGAATCAACACGGTACAGTGAAGACTAAATACCATTAACAAACAAACATACAAAGAACATAAAATGTAAACACAGCAAAAAACTCCAATATCTTAACTTGTAAATAAGCTGTGGTGGCAAATTGAATTTTGAAAATGTAAAATTGACGTGTATGATTTTTCAGTTGCGTGTATTGTTATTATGCATTATTGATACAAAAACAAATAAATATATTATATCAAGTGACTGAATAGAATGACATTTCATATGTCAATTTTTGAAATGTTCCCTTAAAAAAATAGGGATGATGTAGACAGTGGTACCAAATTATTCGTAAAAAGATGCTATTTGCGTATATATTATGCAATATACAAATGAGCCACCCTTGTTCCATTTTCAAAAAATTGAGATATGATCAAAAGTACGATTTGGGCATTTTTCAATCGGCCAGGACAAGGACACGAACACATTAGACGATCAAATCTATTTTTTCAAGACGCTTTGATTACAAAACTACTGTTCTTAACACTTACTTAAAACACATTCCCCTAGGAGATGCAAGACCTTGTCGTTGGTGGGGAAGCTCCTTGTCAGGTGCTGGAGAAATCTCCTCTAGCACTTTGGCTCGGTCTAAGAAGCATCTCATTATATTGTCCCTGGCTGTAGTGTCGTGGCCAGGGAATTGCACCAAGACATATAACGAGGCCGGACGAGGCTACCCCTGTCCGTCATACCAGGCACCCTCTACTGATTGTGGTCATGTCTCGCGGGTAGAGGGGGTCTTGGTAGTTTAACCGCCTGGACCAAGAGGAGACAACCTCACCAAAAACCTTAATCCTACGATGACGGGACCAGGTCAAAGGGATGCGTGGCTAGATAGAAAACTAGCTGTTACTGGCCTCAACCTTGGGGCATCATTGGGCACCCCATTGTATTTACCCCTTACTTCTTCATGCAGGGCTCTGTAGAAGTGGATCGACTATCTCTAGCGACTCGTGGGAACACTATAAGGTCTAGTATTAAAAACACCACCGGTGAAGCTGTGGGGAAGCCCCCTAGCGACACTGGGAACATTACAAATGAAAGTTCCAAGGGACCAAATCCAAAGAAAACTACAGGCTGACACTTGCTTGGGATCATCTTCCACAAGTGGCACACAAGCTACCACCTTCTCCAGCAAGGGTAGAGAGCCTAACTCTAGACCCAATAAGCGACATAAACTACCGTTTCGTCTACCCGGCCTGGGTCAACCAAGCGGGCTAGACGATCCTCTGAGAGTAGGTCTTAGCGGAGCAGAAGCACGGAGATACCTCCGACTGCTCCACGAAGGACTTGCTCCAGAGGAAGCAAAAGCGAAAACACTCCTCCGAAAAGGGAAAAGTAAAGAAACCAAGAAACAACCTGACTCGTCTCCATCAAAGGGCAAGAGAGGGAGCGAGAACCTCTCACCTCTTTCCCGGCAGGGAGAGAAAAAAGCCAGGATGTAAAGCCGTCCAACACCGGGAGGCAAGCAGGGACGTACCACCAGCTCTGCCGCTATTGCTGGACAAGTGAAACTGGCCGTGCTGTCAAAGGATTTCCCAGAGGTTGCTCTGACCACCGACCAGCAAACGTCTCTAGAAGAGGCTATACTGGATAATCGGATCGCAACACAACGATCTACAAAATGTGGGTCAGCTGCATTTTGCGGCGATACACTTTCAGGTGGGCATGATCCTCATAGATTGTGTATCTCAAGAATCGGCGAATTGGTTGGTGGAAATCGCACCTAAGCTTAAAAATTGGCAAGGGCCGGAACTGGTTGCAGTGAAGGGATAAAACATCCCTAAAGGGGCGGCCATAACGGTCTTTCTGCCGAGGAGCAAGGGAATGACACCACCTACCTGCTGAGCCTTATCCAAGGTCAGAACTTCAATGTAAGGATATCGAGTTGGCGAGTCATCAACTCGAGGGAGGAGGGTCATAGTCAGGTCCTTACAATAGGAATTGACCTCAAATCCAAGGAGGCAATAGAGAAAGAGGGACATATCCTCTATTATAGATACGGGTCAACACCGGTATCAGATCTAAGGAGAGACCAAGTTAAAGAGGTGGAGAAAATGGAGACAGATCTTCCAGCATCCACCTCACGGGTTCCTCGACTGTGAAGAGCGGCACGGAGGGCCAAACTCCAACCGTGGAAGGGTGTGTACCCTCGGAGGAAGAACTGTTGTCAGAGGAGGATCGGAAATACTCTGTCCCCTCTACAACAGGGGTATGATGGGTTAGAGATTGTGTGATGACTCAAGGAAGGGTGGCACAATAGATCTTTAAGGTCGCAGTGATTAACCCCCCTCTTACTCATTCTACATACTTAAAACACGATTTTTTTAAAGCGAAAATGTCAAAAATTGACATATCATATGTCATTCTATTCCGAGTGCCATTTTATATCGAATAAAGTAAAAAAATATCGAAGATATTATTTAAATATCAAAAATTGTAGTCAAATCCGGTGAGACAGGAAGTGACCGAAAATAAGTAAAAACGTCAATCAATCCTAATTTATGTCATATACTAACATACCAAATCTGGTTTTTATCCGAAAAAATAAAAAAGTTATAGGACCACTTTAAGGAAGTTCCGGTATATTTTAGAATTACCTGGATTTTTATATATGACAACGGATAACAACGTTTTTTGTGAGGCCTACTGCTTAGTATTTTAAGAAATAACACAGATAAAAATAGGAAAAAAATGCACAAACTAACCTACCTTCAAAAGCTTTCTCATATCAACCGGTTCATTTGTACCCGGCTGTATCTTATACCTCCTAATTGCCTGCGGCTTGTTGGTTACGTCCATAAACGTGTAAATACCGCCCACGATCCAGTAAACGCCAAAAGTTATGGCCGTGGTACCGTAAACCCATAAAAATTTCGGATCTTCCCCAGCTACGTCTAGGAACTTGTCCCACTGTGCCTGCCAAAAGTCACCCGACGCACCCCAGAATTTCTGACAGTGCCTGAAAATTAAGAAAACTAATTTTAATAACAAAGTCACGCTTTTAAAAAGCATTTTATTATGTATTTATACATTATAGTATATTGTTTTATTAGGAGTAAAAATAATACTTTTCGCGGAGAGGCGTAAAAATAAAAATTGGCGCCGGGAGGCACGTATTCACGTATTGGGCGGCTATACGTATATTTTTGCATTTGCCCATACTAAAATATGTTAATAAAAAGTTGGTAGGCAGTTCTTTTAGTTTCAAAGTAAAGGAATTTTACCAATTTTTTTTATCTCAAAAACTGCGACTTTGACTGATTTTGATGTTATTACAAATTTTGTTGAAAATATTATTCTTAATCTTAAATTGAAAACCGCGTTTCGCTAGCTACTGTAATTTTGGAGTTACGATTTTTTTAAATTTTTAACCCCCTCCCATACCCCCTTACCAACCCCCCACCCCACCAAAAACTAATGGCCAGATTCTCGGGTGCCACAGTTTGTGCCAAATTTGGTTAAAATCGGTTTAGCAGTTTTTGAGTTATCGTGTTACAGACAGACAGACAGACAGGGAAACAGACAGACAGTCACCATGAAAATATTTTGTATTTAGGTCATTTATGACCCAAAGAATTCATTTTGAGTGAAATTAAAAAAAAATTGCCGATATTAATAGCCTACCATACCTGTTGGTATGGCCATACTCGCCATATATTGCCATACTCGGTATACAAGGAAGGTAATGTGGCTAGTACTCTACGCTTCAACCGCCTATTATTACCTCAGGATTGTGAATCCCAAGTACTCATTTAAGGCTGAGTCGACCTAGGTACCCAAACTATTTTTATTTTAATAAAAATAGTCGGCTGATGAAATGCCGGGTGTGGGATTCGAACCCACTACAACCTTCAGATTGGTAGACGAGAGCCTGTACCTCTACGCCACCGGGCACCTTAAGCAAAATCATAAAAATGAAAATATCTAGGAAAATCTTTGTTTGAGGGGTAGGCAACCTTAATAATATTTAGATATGTGAATTCTCCATTTAACACCGGAATAATATACTGGGTCTTCCATTTAAAATAAAGGAATAACTTGCTTTTAAAAATGACCAATGTTCAATATTAGTTTTGTCTCACCCTGTATAACTTTGCGAGTCAAATTTTAATTTGGTTTAACATACAATGGATACTGTAATTAAATATCAGGCTATACAAGGTCAACTAAAATTTAGGTAGCTGTTATTGAAATTTAAAACTCTCTCTCTAACTCTTCATTTTCACATAATGTGAAATATGTCAAAATCCTTACATTTTAGACATATGCTTCTTTAATAAAAACTCAACTTTATTTTATTCCTAGAATCCGAAAGTCAATTGATATATAGGGTTTCCATTACAAAAAACACAAGTTTGATGTGTAACTTTTTTTGGGGACACCCTGTAGAACTTTCTATATTTTCAAAAAGTGCTCTGAATTAACCAAGAATTAACCAACAACACAAAATTTCAATTCAATACAAACTGTCGTTCTCCTTGGAACCTGCGTGGCGTATGTGAGGCGCTACTCTGTATTTTTTCAAACGTTACGAAAGAACTGATTTTGCGACATGATTGACAATATAATAAGGTCATTTTAACGCCTAGGCATAAAAGTAAAGCACTTTTACGCCTAAGCATGGCCTAAGCACAAAAGTACAAAAATATATGATTAAACCTGACAATAAACGTCAAATTCAACGAGTGTATCCATTGTTGTTCGATTTATATCTACTTGCACGGGATTACTTTTAATATTATTTACGACGTGGGTGAGTCTTAAATAAGTACACATATTTTCAGGGCTGGTAAATCTCGATAAAAGAAAAATATTTTTGCCCTACCGTTTTCCAAATAAGTCCAAAATAACGAGATATTTTAATTTGAAAATTCAAAAAGAAATAATATAGGATTCGTTTCCGGGTTTTTGTTTTTCTAAATTTAATCTACTTACTGCTTGTGTATATGTTGTCATATTATTAAAATATCACGTTTTTTTTAAACTGAAAATTAACTGAAGTTTAAAAAAATCCAATTTATTTTTGAAAAAAATCTTTAAATTGTTTTTGTTAATTGGTAGCCAATATAGTTGCATAACATATATGTAGAAAATATTTTTATTTCCTATAAATTGCCTACAACGTTTTTCAAAAATTCAATATAAATATTTCCCTCATTTTTTTATTTTCGACCTTACTTTTATTTATAGTTTGTATAGCGTATTATAACCACAGATAACATATTTTATGTTATGTGTTATGTGTGTTATAACTTATCAGTGGCGTAACAACAGACTCACAGGCCTGTGTCCAAAAATTCAACCGGGCCCCCTATTACACCTACATATTTCAATGCTTATATACTAATCTGAATAATATGCACTCATATTTTAGGTTAGAAATAACATTATCAAATTAATTTTTATATAGTATTATTTATTACAGCAACACAGAATATGTAACCCAAAACATATAAAATATCAAATAAATAAAAAAATAAATAAAAACAAAACAAAAAACAACAACAAAACTAACTAAATTAAAATAAACAATGTAAATAGGAACATTTACATGTTAAAATTCTTTTTTCCTTGCTTTAGCATGGGCGAAAGTTATACCGAACACAAAAAAAACACAATATTACCAGTGTCTATTGCACAGGCAACTTCATTTTCTATTGAAATAATTGCCAAAGCTGATAACCGTTTTTCGCCCACAGTATTTCTTAAATAATTTTTGACAAACTTTAATTTGGAAAAAGATCTTTCAGCCGAGGCCACAGAAACAGGTATGGTGAGAAAAATATGACACGCTGTTAAAATCTCGCTGAAACTAGAAGACGATGAAAGGTTTTTAATTAAAATAAATTCAGTGAGTTCAAAAATGCAATTGATTTCATATAAATTATTTTGGAAATATTGCCTGAAGGAGAGTAATTGAGAAGAAATCGTATAGGCAATATCATCGGGGTATTTAAGGTATAGAACCTGACCCATTTCATATATATCCTCATCAGAAACAGAAGGATTCTGCTTGATTCGCGATAGCATGTGATAGATATAGAAGTGCGTCCCGGGCCCCCCGAGGGCCCGGGCCCGTGTGCTTCTCACACACGGCACATCGATAGTTACGCCACTGTAACTTATTTAAGTTTTTTAATTACTTACTCTTATCGAAAATTTCTTAAAATACAGGGTAAGTCTTAAATAAGTGCAAATATTTTTCGGGGTGGTATATTTCGACCCCAAAAACACGATTATGAGGGTTTTTTTCGTGAAATTTTTTTTTCGAAAATTTGGAATTTTTTGAAATAAAATTTTGAAATTTTTTTAGTTTTTAGTTAAAAAACATAATTTCTTAATATGTTAACATAGGTAGTAGATTAAATTTACAAGAAAGAAAATTCAGAAAAGATCCAGTGGTTCTCAAAATTTTAGCAAAAAAAGTATTTTTTCTTCGGAAATTTTCAAAGTAAAAAAAAGTAAAAAGTAAAGTTTCAGTTAACGTCTCCTTTTTGCTGCCACGGCTAATCTGGACGGGACCTACTTTGTTTACGCGGAATCCGAACCGCGGTCCTCGGCCATATCATAGTCAATGGCCTACCGACTTGGCAAGTGTCTAAATCAACTCTTACTCACGAGATATCCGATCTCATCCGGCCTCGAACCGGCGTGAATATGCAGTATGTGTCAATAGATTTTACACTTTTGCCTTTATTGGACAAGAGCAAGCATTTTTATTTTTTTTTGGCAGCATTATTTTAAAGTAAAATAACTCGGTTATTTTGGATTTATTTGAAAAACGATAAAGAGAAAATATGTTTTTTAACGAGATCTGCCATCCCTGAAAATTTTTGCACTTATTTATGACTCACCCTGTATAAAGGATGTTCCTTTATGACATGTTACTTAGGGGTGATTCCTGAATCTATTTTAAGAAAAAAACTTCATATAAAAGTATCTATGTCCTAACCATCTTAACTCTTGAGATACTGGTTAGTGAAATTCTCTCAAAAAAACTTTTTTTATAACTCTGATAGTAATTACAATATCTTTATGAAATTTGATATATACGTCTTCTATACATCAAAATACATTTTTTGATGCATAAATAATTTTATTTATTTCAACGTGTGGCGTCCATACGGATTTTACATAATTCTCTAAATTTTCCTACATTTCTACAGAATTTTTTCATCTTTCGGCCGACGCGACGCATTGTGCTCAAAAACCCTAAAGTTATTTTACTTCAGGGTTAAATCCCTAAAAATCTGATGGGGTGACTGTTGTATGGAAATCGTTTTACATCAGATAAAAGAAATTTAAGAGATATATACCGGGTGCGTCTCAAACATGGCTCACCCTTATAACTTCCTTATTTCAGATAAAGAAACGGGATTTGGTATGTTAGTATATGGCATTAATTAGGATTGATTGATTTATTCAATTATTTTCGATCACTTCCTGTTTCACCGGAAATGACTACAACGTTTAATTTTTAAATGACACCCTCAGTATTTTTTACTTTATTCCATAGAAAATGACGCTCTGAATAGAATGACATATCATATGTCAACTTTTGACATTTTCGCATACGGTTTATTTGAAATTGTAACATGCGGTTCATAATGACAATTTGACTCGAAATATCATAGACTTAATTTATTTTAAGTCTATGCGAAATACCAAGTGTGTGGTACTAAATTATTCGTAAAAGAAATTATTCGCAAATATGCAAATGAACCATCCTTGTTTCATTTGAAAAAATTGAGATATGATTAAAAATACGATTTGGGGATGTTTTAACCAGCCAGGACAAGATACGAAAAACATTAAACGGTCAAATCTATTTTTCCAAGACTCCTTGACTAAAAATTAGTGTTTTAACACAGCCATGGCACTCTAGATTGAAATATAGAATACCATTTTTTTCAGCGAAAATGTCAAAAGTTGACATACGATATGTCATTCTATTCAGAG